TTGATTTATAATCATTTTACAATGTTGTGTCAAATTCCAGCGTTCAGCACAATTTTTCAGTCATTCATGGATATATACACACTCATTGTCACATTTTTTCTCTGTGAGTTATCATAACATTTTGTGTATATTTCCCTGTGCTATACAGTGTAATCTTGTTTATTATTTTCAGGTTACTTTATAAGTGAAATATCATTTAATTTTTCCATATACTTTCATGTGGGTAAAATCTTTGTGCTATCAAGTCTGTGAGTAAAATGTGTCCACATCCCCGGACAAGGTAGAAACTGTCGTCTTAAAAATACTGTCTAGATAGTAAGTAATGTAAGATGTTAACAATAGGGAAAACAAAAAAAGACAACCTATAGAAAGGGAGAAAATATTTGTAAATGATGCAACTGACAAGGACTTAATTTCCAGAATATATAAGCAGCTCATACAATTCAATAACAACAACAACAAAATCAAAAATGGGCAGAAGACCTAAACAAACACTTCTCTAGTGAAGACATACAAATGGCCAACAGGTACATGAAGAAATGCTCAATATTGCTAATTATCTCGAGAAACATAAATCAAAACTACAATGAGGTATCATCTCACACCGGTCAGAATGGACATCATTAAAAGAGTCCACAAATGATAATGTCAGAGAAGGTGTGAAGAAAAGGGAACCCTTCTACACTGTTGGTGGGAATGTAGTTTGGTGTAGCCATTATGGAAAACAGTATGGAGATTCCTTAAAAAATTGAAAATAGAATTATATGATCCAGCAATCCCACTCCTGGGCATATATCTGGAGGAAACTCTAATTTGAAAAGACACACGCACCCCAATGTTCACAGCACTATTTATAATAGCCAAGACATGGAAGCAACCTAAATGTCCATCCGTAGATGAGTGGATAAAGAAGTTATATTTATATACTGGTATATTTATATTATAGAAGTGCTATATTTATACAATGGAATACTACTCAGACATAAAAAAGAATGATATAATGCCATTTGTGGCAACATGGATGGACCTGGAGATTGTCGTACCAAGTAAAGTAAGTCAGAAAGAGAAAGACAAATACCATATGATATCACTTATATGTGGAATCTAAAAAAAAAAAAAAAAAGACACAAATGATCTTATTTACAAAACAGAAACAGATTCACAGACATAGAAAACAAATTTATGGTTACCAAAGAGGAAAGCAGGTGGTGAGGGATAAATTGGGAGTTTGGAATTTGCAGATACTAAAAGGCTACAAATAATTGAAATGATTTTGCATATATCCTCATGTGAACTATGGTTAAAATCTTCATGGAAGGCAGCACCTTGGGGAAAAGATCCAGAAAGGCTCTGAGAGGAAAGGAGGGAGGAGCTACATCACAGATTTCCCTGGCCCATGGGTGCTTTTTGCCACAAGCCGTGATCCTATGAGACAGATGCCGGCCTCCCGTCCACCAGATGGTTACTGTTACTTAGAGCACCCCCACAAATCTACCTGCAGGGAAAGAGCACTGAGCTAGAGGCGTAGATACCAGACCCAGGAAAACTTTACTGCTTAGCAATCACTTACTAGGAATTCAGAGCCCTGGTCTCTCTTACCTGATGGGCCAGTCACTCGAGACCTAGCCACATCTGTAACATGCCATTGGTAACGTGCCTTCAGCGGTCACAAAGAGTATTCTGAAAAACCTGAAATCACCCCAACACACCATTTGTTTACCAAATCCACAAGCTGTGTTTCCATTTTGGCAGAAAATCCAACAGAATCCCTCAAAGGTACATTGTAATTTAAAAGGTAACATTCCTTTGTTCACGTCCAAGAGGTTAGAACTCAGACTCACTCCCTGATTGGCTCTTGGAAAGATTCTTTTGTAACCAGTCATCCTTTGCCCATCACCCTTGGCTGTTTTTTTATTTTGATTTTGCAGGCTCTTTGAAACATCTTATTTTAAATTATATTTCAAATATATTTAAAAGAACGCAATATAACAGATACTCATTACCAATGACACAGATATAAATGATATAATTTTCCACATTAAAAATACAACTTAAAGCCTAGTTCTCATCCCTTTTCATCTCTTCCTCCCCAGAACTAACCACTATTCCAAAATCCACACATATATGTTTTTATACTTTGACTACATATGTTAATATTCATCCAGTATTGTTTTATGTATTTTAATTCTTATGAAATTAAAATCATGTATTATTTTATAACTTGGGTTTTTTTTTCACTCAGCAGTATGTTTTGAGATTTAATATGATGACAGACATAAATCCAGTACAGTCATTTTAGGTTTCTATACTGTTCTGCTGTCTCCATGAACACGATTTATCTGTCAGGCTACTGTGAACATTATCATTGCTTCCAATTTTTCCTATTACAGATATTACTAAATAAACACCCTTGTGTAGGTCTTCCTGCACATATGTGAATTTCTCTGGGATGTTTTCCTAGAACTGAAATTACTACTTTCGATTCTCCATAGTTACTGATATGTTCTCCAAACTGAATTAGTTTTTATTCCTACCAGCACAGTAAGAGAATTTCTATTTTCCCTAAGCCTCTCTGATATTTGGTGCTAACATTAGACTTTAATTTCTGCCAATATAGTAGGTGTGAAATTAATATTATTATTGTTTTATGTTCACTGGCTATGACTCTCATCTTCTGTGAATTACTTCTGCATGATCATTGCCTATTTTTTATTGGGTTGTTCATAATTTTTGGTGTTCTTTTCATATTCTGCATACTAATCTTCTGTTTTATGCACTGCAATTATCATCTTCCAGTAGATTGTCTTCGAACTTTATATGGGGTATCTTTTGTTGAACATGACTTCAATGTTTTAATGTAGTCAAACTCATCACTCTTTTCCTGTTTGAGCTTCTGCTTTTAGAGTATGTTTAAAAAACAATCATCTACACATTGAGATCTCAAAAATAGAATGCATTTATATAATAATTTACATAATATTTATTTATTGTTTGCCTGTTCCAGGTTCTCTGTACTTCTTCAAACTGAGGATTCATATTTTTCCTCAATTCTGGAAAATTCCCAGCCTTGCTTTTCCTCCATTCCCTCCAAGAATTCCCCCAGAATTGTGTTTGATCATATCATTACATCCTCTGGGTCCTTAAAACCTCCTTCCTCTTTTCCATCTCTCTATAGCTCTGTGTTGGATTATGGGTTATTTTGTTGGTCATATGTTCCAGCCAACAAATTCTCTCTTCAGGCTATATTAAGTTTGCTACTTCACTTGGCCAGAGCAATCTTAACCTCAATGACTCTTTTAAAAAATTCACTGAAGTTCCAAGGGGTTGTTTTTAAGATCTTCCCTTTTTTCACGAAGTATTTTATTCTTTCATTATGATTTCAAATCCATCTTTTATATCACTAACCATTTAAAACATATTATTGTATAATAGCTTTCAAACTGCTGCATTATCTCATTTTCCTAGAGTATTAATTTCTCTCTTTGGAAGTGAAGAGGACTCTTCTTTGTGGTAAAATGTTCCTTTGTGCTACTGATTGATACTAACTGATTCGTTATCAGGCACTATTTTTTTAACTCCACTGTGGGAATCCCTGTGGCCTGATTGGTAGAAGTGACCTGCCCCTTATATGGATTTGTGCTTCCTTATTCCAGGTACCCCAAGAAGACAGATACTGATTTTCATGTTAATTTCTTGACTTGAACTGCTCCACAATGCAAGGAGTATAGATTTGGATCCTAAGCTTGTTCGAGATACACGTTTGGTTTTGATTTCTCATGGGGGACTGTCCTTTCCCAACTGTAGTCAGGATAAGCAGGTCCTAGTCCTAGTCCTTTCTCTGGGTTAGAGATTTTCTTGTCTACCTTTCTTCCAGGACACAAGATCTTCCCTGTGTCTATTCTGGAGTATCCATTCCAATGCATGGACCCTCGTGAGCCCTTAAGCCCTGCAACATCTGATTCTTTCCCTTCTCCACTTCTCCTGGAATTTCTCTTTAAAAAAAAAATCTATGATTAGCACAAATTTAAGACAAAGTATAACCTAATTAAGTGTACATATTGAGCCTCTGGGCATAATTGGAATTTTCAAAACTAATAACAAATTTAAAGTAGAAAACACTTGACCGTTTTATCAAAAGCCTGGTTGTGTTACATTGTTAACTATGTTTATTTTTTTTAAACTGATACTTTTTTTCAACTACCGATCTCTCCTTAGAGTTTGGCCTGTTTGGAAAAGAATAAGAGGTGAGAAAGAATGTCATCTATTCTCCTAATGGGCAGGACCACAATATTGTCATCCTTGTCTTTTAATTCATGAAGTAAACATTTTACTTTAACATTTAAAACACTGAGCTTTAAACAATTATTTGAACATTGTCTCTGGTTAGCAAACCTAGCAGCAGAGTCAAAAGAGATAAAGACCATAATAGCTTCACCATCCCTTTTCCCATCCAGGGGCAGTGGCCCCATGGCCATAATAATTCTGGACAGTGAGAAGCTAAATTGATCACTTGTAACCTGCCAACACTGGGACATTGTCGTACACACTCTAGAGGATATGTTTCTTTCTTCTCTAAAGCATTCCAACATGAAGCAGTGAAAAACAATTCTAAGCATAAGCAAACAGCCATCACCTTTAGAGACAAAACCAAACAGCAGGTCAGCATGGACTCAGAGGCTGCCTCTTCCTTTTAGCGTATAGTCTAAAATGTTAACACGACCTGCAAGGCACTTGTGACTCAGCCAGCCCCGCCTACCTCTCAGGCCTCACTCTTGTCACTTTCCTCTCCTCCACCCTCTATGCACTGGCCTTAGTTCAGTTTCTGACTCCTTAAACTCACCCACAAGAGGAAATTCTACTTTCACTGCCAAGAATGTTCCTAGCACCCAGTTCTGAGTTCTGTTAACCCCAATCCACCCTGCTGGTCTCAGTTCAAGTGTTTCTTCAGAGAAGCTCTCTCTGACTACAGTTCAGATCAGACTCCTTTATTATAGACTCTCATGGAAATGTGTTCCTTCCCTTAGTTCCTGTAATTAGACTCTCATCAGTGAATTAGGTGCTTTATGGATGTCTCCTCCTCTAGACCAGAAGCTCTATGAGAACAGAGACCACGTCTATTTTCACTCACTGCTGAACCCTCACTGCCTGTTCAATACATTTTTATTGACTGTATGTATAAATAAATTCACATTAGAAAAAAAAGAAAATTTTATTTAGTCTCCGATTGTCAAGATTAACAATTGGTGGTTTATAGAGTAGAGTGGGAAGAAACTGAGGAGCCAACAATCTAGCAGTTCTTGACCTGACATCTGCTAGAAATGCTAGGAACAAGGTTTGGTTGGGCTTACAGAGAACAGAGTAGAGAAGGATGAAAACATACACAAGAACTCAGTAAAGGGTCCACTGAAATCAGATACAGCTCAGCATATTAAACCTCAACTAACAACCCATGTAACTAATACATTTGATAAAATGGTGGGGTAAACCATCACCATCAGGCTGAGTAGAGGATACATGGGTTCTAGCCCCAGCTCTACTAGAATGAAAACTTGGCCAATTAACAACTTCTGACTTTGATTCCCTAACTTGAAACACAGCATCAAGATACAGATTTCTAAGGTCCCTCAACCTCAGATTTTAGGACTTCAGAGCATGTTCTCAAATGCATGCTGCTCTCAGATGTTAATACCATGTACAACTATGTAAGTCACCTGTCCTGTAAAGAAATAAACCTTGGACTGAGGAAAATACCTCTAAAGTAAGAAGCAAGATTTGCATCCTGGCCAGAAGAGTGAAGTAGCACACCTGGAAGACAGGGTTGACATGTGGCCCAAATATGTGTTCAGTTACAAAAATGTCTTTTACTGAGTTACTAGGATAACCGACACCAGAAAGAGACACTATTTACCCCAGGACTGGAAACTCTTCCTTTGCATTCTACTACTGACTTTTATGAGTATCGGGTTGCTCACCCACAGCTGGACGCCCTGCGTGTTTTGTATCTGTGATTATCTGCCTTCCAGGATTTCTGTACAGGTGCCTTCTTAAATATTGAAATTATAAATGCACAGAAAACGTTGAAAAAAACAAAAAACAATTCAGACATACTGACTAACAATTATACCTAATGATGAGGAAATTAAGTAATTATAGACAAAAGATTTTTGAAAAGTAATGATGTCATGCAGGTTGACATTTGGGAAGGAGGGCGCAAGAAAGATCACTCCATATGGGTTAAGCTGTAATGTTGCTTTATGACTTTTTAGAAAAATAATACATGAAAAATGTATCAGTTTCCCTGTTTCGCCTCTTTATCATTTTCCTTTTTGGACACCTAGAATCTTAAGAGATCAGTCCTTACTTTTTATCATATCCTCATTTGTTACTTCAGGGGGAGGTGGAAGGTAGTTTTGCCTTTTCATATTTAAAAAATTTTAGAAATTCACCTCTGTAAAAATATCCAGTGTGATCTTGGATCATCAGTGTCCATATCCTTCAGACTACGTTTTATAACTTCTTTTGTCTCTGAGTCGGCCTTAATATTTTGGTATTAAAGAAGAAGTCAGCCAAAGGTCCAGATCTAAAATATTCCCTACATTTCATCTAAAATGAAATTCTTGGCAATGGATTCAAACATATGCATGCTTTAATGGCAATTTTTGAAAAGTGCAATTACACATTCAACAAAACTCTAAGACCAAATACAAGCTAATAAAAAAAATAAAATTAAATAAAAACTTCCTAAAAATTCTCCTGGAGATTATTTTACATAATCTGATAAAAGCCCCTCTAGATTCCAAAAGGCACATGAAATGAGCATTAATTAGATATCTAATTAGCATTAGATTTTACACTGTGACAACTGTATTCCCACTTCTAGCTGAATGACTGGCAAAAGAGGTCTCAATAAATGTTCTTAATGAATTAAGTGGTTATTTTCACTGTCACAATAGATTTTGATTAATCAGATTTATAACTCTGTAAATTTTGCTTTTATGTGCTATATGTATGCATCATACAGAGACTCCTGCTGAAGTAATTGATACTTGTGTCTTACATCTGTCAAATTATATTTGTATTACATTTGTTGATGCATACTTTGATTTATTCTAGTTGTTATTCAACTTTAAAACTGCTCTTGATCTTACATGGTCTAATGTTACATAGAATAAAGTAAGTATAGTCAGTACTTAAGAGTAAATAAGAAGCACAGATTCAGAAAAAAAGGACTCATCTTACAAAAGGAGGGAAAAAGGGAAAATGCTGCTGGAGAATTAAAACTAGCTTCCTATAGTCCTGACCTGTGAAAATATCTGCTTTGAAAAAAAAATCATTTTAGTGAAGTATCATAAATTATCAATAACTCATCATTCAAGATTAAGTAAAAGCTTAGCGTAAAAAAATCTTATTATTGGTTTATGATCTTTATTTAGTTTTCAATATACACTATTGAATTTTGGGAGTTTGTAGCCAAAATGGGTCTGAGAAGCTAATCTTAAAGTTATTCAGCAAGTCTCTTTAGCAATGTCGTCGTGTATTAGGATAGAAAGCACTCAGGTATTTTTCCTTTTTTACGTATCTAGTGCTCTTCAAGTACCATTAAGAGAGTCTCTTTTACACATACAACTTCAAGAGTCTCCCCAGTCCTTTAAGACGTGTCTTTAGCAGTATCTAACACTGTCTGTGGGACTTAGAAGAAGTCTTTTCTCATGGCCAGAGAGATGCTCCACTGGCATTTAACCTTGGCATTTAACATGTTTCTATAAAACCCTTTCTGGATCCTCTAAACCTCCATGCGTTTCTGCTTTAGGAAGACATTAGAAGTACAGATTCTCCTCATTCCTGAGTTTCACGTATTCTTTAACAATCTGATGAGGACTCACATGAGAAGGGTTTAACCTTCGCTATTGTCCCACAGGACCCTGGATTGTGAGAGGCTGCCTAACAAGGAGACTCTTTCAAATATAGTTTACTGCATGGCTGTCTGTCTGTGCCTTTTCCATTTCAATCTCTAGCCTATGAGAAAGCACTTTAAGAGCCATAGGAAAATGTACCCATTTGGCTGTTTGGAATGGAAACAAAACAACATTCTTCTTTCTTCTTTGCAGGGAAAATTAGGAGCCCAAAGTTGACATTCTCACACCAAAAGATCTGACAACATTTAAAAATACATTTGCACTACAGAGTTAATAGAAGAAAAAGAAAGGAAACTATCCTTTCAAGCAATCTCTGATATCATTATGAAATCAACCAAAAAAAAAAAACCCAAAAAACAAAAAAATAGGGGTGTTATATATTTTTTTCTAAGAAAATGGGTAAAGCACATTTTCTTTTGCCTTTTCTAATTTGCCTTTGAGCTCTTGACCCAAGAAACTGTGTCTGATTACATATCAGAGAGAATAATAAACCTAAATTGACGACTGACATTTGTATCAGATGAACAGTAATATTTCACCACTGAAATCCTGGACAGTTTTCTAAGGGCTCTTTTTACAAGTGGGCATCATAAATAGCCAGCACATGGAGGGTTTAATTATGAAATCAGAAGGCTTGATTCACAACCCTCTTTTCAGAGCCCAAAAACACCTCTTCATTCTCAGACGCGACGTCTTAGAGATGCAATCACAAGCACTTACCTTATTTATTTCCCAGTCTTCCTCCAACTTTTCCACTGCAGCTGAGCCCTGAGTGGACTCCTGTCCATCAGAAGTAACCTGCCCCTCTCTGTCTGGCAGAGCAAACTTTTCTTTCTTTTCGGTTGAGCATTTTGATTTGAGAATGCTATTGAGACAATTTTCCATCTCCTGCTTAGCAGATTCAAGTCGGTTTTCCAAATCTTTTTGTTTACACTTAAGTGATTCTATATCATCTTTAATAATCTTCTGTCCCACTGAAGATGTGTTTTGCTTGATGGATTTTGCTAAAGCTATAATCTTCTCTAATGTGCCATCTTGTAAATGGAGACTATTCTCTAGCTCCTGTGAATGGAGAAAGGATTATCCAGAAAGTATCACTGTTCAATTGTCACAAGAGTTAATTGACTTTTGTAAATCATAAAGTATTTTCCTTGACTAGTGGAAAGTCTAAAAAACTTATCAACCCATATCGCAAAGAAGAAACTTTGAGTAAAATTTAAACCAACGTAGCAGCCCAGATCAGATTCTCCAACAGATTTTATAGGATACTAGAAGTTTATAAGAAGTAATGAAGAAAATTTTCACAACCCAGTTCCTGGAACATAGGAAACAGTCAACACATATTTGTTGAGAATATGTTTTGTTCAAGATACAAATAATACTAAAATCAAGGGGGAGGGTATAGCTCAAGTGGGAGAGCACATGCTTAGCATGCACAAGGTCCCGGGTTCAATCCCCAGTACTTCCTCTAAAAATAAATAAGTAAACCTAATTACCCTCCCCAAATAAAAATAAATGTAAGAAAGAAGAAAACTACAAAAAAAAGAAAAGAAAAGAAAACAAATAATACTAAAATCAAACCCAATCAAAACACGAAATAAGTGCCCACTTGATGTAAAGCCTTGAAAAGAAAAAAGGAACCATTTAGAATGTGCCTGCTTGAATCTAGCGTTAATGTCTAAAATTCAGAGCAAGGCTTAAATCAATCTACCTAATGCAATATCTTAAATATAGTAGAAGCTCAATTGGTATTTACTAAATACATGAATGAATGAGGCTAATTTGAGACCTCTAGACTCAAGGGAATCTGATATACTATAGCAGCTACTGGCGTTACTCTGAAATAGAATAAGACTTAGAGTTACTAGGTGAAACTATGTACTTATTTATTAGTCCCTTTCCTAGTGGACTCCACAACAAACATTCATGCATTCAGCTAACAGCAAGTATTATGACAGGTTGGAAGTTACATAAGATACTAAAATACAGACCCTTCATAATCCTATAGTCTAGTGAGAGAGACACGGAAGTAAACAAAGTTGTAACAGAATGTGGAAAGAGCTATGCTAGCAAATATGTACGGGTCGTGGAAACAGTTTCAGCTGGAAGAAGGGAGTTCCAGATTGCACTCTGGATAGATTTACACTGGAGAAAGGGACACTGCCAGCAGGGAGCCCATTCAGATGTCCAATGCAGGCATCTGTGAGATGAGGGTCTGTTCTAAAGCAGCAGTAACGGGGGTAACGGCAGAGGCACAAATTGCAGAGCTAGTCCAGAGATGAAAGGGACAGCAATTGATGCCAGACATGTCAGACTAGAGTCTGGGGAAGGATATCCAGGTTTCTGACCTGGCAGCCTAGACAGATGATACAGATATTCACAGAATCAGAGAAGAAAAAGCAGATTCATGGGTAGGGAGCTGGGGTATGGAGAAAGGGAAGGAGATGATGAGTTATTTTCTAGCCATGCTGAACCACAAATAACTATGAGACATCCAAGCGGAGATGTCTAGTGGGGTCAGAAGACCTGAATTGCAGCCCCTACTCTGTCATTTAACTCGAGTGACCCTATAAGTTCCTAAGCTCTCCGTAACTCAGCTCATCATTTATGAAATGAGGAGTCTGAACTCGATGGCCTCTGAGATTCCTTCTAGCTATAGCAAAAGGCTCTATTTAATTTTTCAATAGGAGCCTGGTCCCTCAGAGTGAGGCTCAGGTCACACTCTCCTTAGTGTCTGTGGCACCCAAACAGGGCTTAGGACACAAGGAGCCCTCAACCCTTGTCACACTATCATTGTTCAAAAGGGAGGCAGCCCTGTCACAGTGATTTGGTCACTAGAGCAGAACATTCCCATTTTTTGTGACTTGTCAGGACTTTATCCAACAGTCACCTGAACAGCATTTTTCAGGATTTGAATTTCTGACGAACGACAGTGATGTGTTAAGTTGTAATCAATACTGATTTCTTCTCATTTCATAGCCTTTTATTATAAGGATGTTGTGTTCTCAGTACATGACATTGTGACAAGGCTCCTCCCTCTTGAACAGCGATATCCTCCAGATATTCTAGAGAAGTCTTGCTTGATTCTCAGGTCCCTAAAAAGGAGAGATGAGAAATCCCCAAGCTCATGCCAGCAGTGCTGCCCAGAGACGCACTCCAGGCAACCTCCAGTCAGGGAATTGTGAAAGCAGCAGCTAGGAAAATGCTCTACTTTGTTTTCTTCCAGAGGACACCACTCGTGCTTGTTTATGTTGGTTCTGCAAACGGTAAGCATCTCAGGAATGTGTTTGGAGGATGTAGGTAAAGAGATGCAATCCTCACTGTACAGGGTGAGGTGGTGTTCGAGTGAGGGTGGAATTTTAAGAGCCCTGCATCTGCAGAGAGCTCCAATGTGGTCCACGAGTATGAAAATTACACAGCTCCCATCCACCCACCATGAAGAATGCAAAATTAAACCACTTCCCCCTAGGACCTGTTGCATTAGATGCATCCTTGGGCTACCCAGTATCTACTGGAATCACTGTGCTATCTCTAAAACAAAGATCTCCAGAAGCTACAGACTGGTCATGGGTGGAATTGTCTCTGAGGGCCCAGAGTACAGAGAACTGTTCAATTCAAACTATAAACGGATTTGGTCACTAAAGAAGAGCACTCACATTTTTTAACGACTGGTCAGGACTTTATCCAGTAGTCATCTAAATAGTATTTTTAGCGTTTGAATTTCTGACCAAAGACACTGATTTGTCAAATGGTAATTAATATTCATTTAAAAAAATGTCTGTCATGTCTGGACACTGTTTAATACCTGCAGTTTCTGCAGTTTTTCTTCAACTGCTATTGGATCCACAGGCTCTTCAGGAAAACTGACAAATTCCTTTGAGATATTATCCAATTCAGTATTTAGGTCCGTGACGCAAACCTGGTATGACTCGTGTTCTCGAACATGACCTTCCAATTTTTGCACAGAATCCTAAACATAAAATGATTGACAATTTATAAGATAGGTCTCTGAATTTTCTCACTCAGAAAATAATTAAATTGCTAGTAAACATTTGTCTTATAAGGTTTCATCCTGAAAAAGGCATATAGTCATAAATCATCCAGAGTCCCTAAGTTTAAAGTTTTTTGTGTTGAGATATTTCACCATAAAAACTCTCTTCTCCACAACAAAAATGACTTATTGAAACCAGATTTGTTTCCCCCATGTTTCTTTGCCTTCATTTCATTCCTAAAGACAATTTCTCAAGAGGTTTACAAAACAAAATGGCTACAAATTATATCATCAAATCACAAACATCCATAATAAAGCAGCTCCCTAATCCTTCTCACTAAAACCAAGTTCCCACTCTGGCAAGCGAGACCATATGAAATCAACCTAACTTCAGACTCCTTTCCTAAGAATCAAACTTCAAAATTAGTGCGTTAGGGAGAAGTAATCCTAACTCAAGAGCAAAACCATCTTCAGGTTCTTTTCCTGGAATAAGAAAATAAAGTGAGCACACATAATCAGAAAAGTAGCAACTATGAAACGAAATAACTTACAAGGCAAGCAGGGATAATCTTCACCCCTGCACAACTCCTGCTCTCTGTATAAGCAAGATTTCTTATCCAGAGAATCCTTACATTGAATCTGGCTTTGTGAGCAAAGAATTATAAACAATTTTCTTAAGAGAATACTATCCCTCATGACGGGATGACATTTTACCTCTTCACTCTTTCATTGAAGATCATGCGGAAAGACTCAAGGGAGAAACCTGACAAGGGAGAACCTGACAAGGCTTATACAGAATAATGGCTATACTACTGCAATAGACAGATGATGAATGGATGGATGTGTGGATGGATGGATGCATGGATGATGCATGGACAACTCTGACATTGTCACCTACACAGAGATGCCATAAAAATCTTAATCTTTCCTACCCCCAAAGAGGGGAGCTTTGATGGAAGGAAATAACACTATCATCAAATAGCACACACTGGATTCCTCTGGCAAAACTGACCAAACTGATTCCTCCATCTTGAAGAATCAGTATTTGTATCAAAAAATGATAAATTTTGAAAGCTTTTTATTTACCAAAAGAACAAAAACAGTGGTCCCATATACAAATACTACAAATTAGAACAATTATTTAAAATTTTATTTTGACCATTTACCTGCAGTTGTTGAAGAAGACTTTCATGGAGTTGCTTTATTTCCAGCCACGGCTCTTCACTGAAGTTGGGATTTTTGGTGCACTCTAAGAGGTAATTCCCTTGAGATTTTAACTCCTCTAGCAAGGATGTCAAATCTTGTGCCTTCTGGAGGAATTTCTTATAAATTTTCAATTGCGCCTTCTTCTCCTGCAAACCATGTTGCAGAGCAAAGCCCACTTCTTGTTGCTTTTTTAGTTCTGTGAGCATTAATCTCAGATCCTCCTTACTTTGCAAATACTTCTCTCCTTCCAGTAGTAGCTTTTCTTGATGGCTAAATTTAACAAAACATTTTACAAGTGAAATGACACTTAACAAAATGGAATGGCATTTTGCTACATTATAATACAACTTAAATTATAATAAAAATCATTAAAATAACACTAATAGACATTATTCCCTGAGACTCCTTTGTCATTAGAACATTCTAAATAGCACTAAGTTTAGCTCAGAAATCAAGATAAAAATCATTTGTAGTATTAAAAATTGAAAAAAGTTACATAATTTGACTTAAGAAAAAATATTTAATAATTTAGATTTCAAACTATTCCAGTTTTTATGATGTTTAAGTATAAATATATTATTCTATGTGTTTCTTTTTCATAGAAGTAAAATAAATGAGCATTTAGTATATTGGCCAACTAACTAGTTTATGCTTTCTATAGCTTAAATTTAGTTTTGATGTTTCCTTAGAAACACATAAAATTTACATGTCTCTACCAAACATTGAATGTATCATTTCAGATGTGATATGAATTAAGAATTTTCACCAGAATTATGTCCATTAAATTCAGACAACATTTATCAATGTTTACATATTTGAGAATCTCTTAGCATACATATTTAAAAGCATGAATTATCCTACAGTAACACCACACAGACACTGAGGTTGTCCGGTGGGGGGGTTGGTACAGAAGGTGAGTGTTGAAGGTGGAATGAGTGCCAATTTGGTACCAAGGGCCCCACGGGTTGATGCACCGGCCAAAGTAAACACTGCCACTGAGTTATGACAGTGTATTTCATATTTGATCCAGAGAACTACTCTTCTTCGTTTCTGCCTCAATATTGTGGTTGCCCCAGACATACTTACTTTCTCTCCAACAGACATGTTATATCCACATCCAGAAGGCAGACAAAACATACTTGTTATGGCTTCACTGCACAATGACAACCCATGGAAGTGGTGAAGCCATGCCCTTTACCTTAGATACGTGTTGGCTAAATGGAGTGTGTTGTCCCACTGGTTCTTGATATCAGTAAAGCTCTTTGGAACCAATGGAGCCTTGCTGCTCTCAGCCTGATTCATGATGGTCTGTATTTTAGCGTCCCCTTCAGGTTTTAGTAAAATGATTTCCTAAATTAAATAAAAAAGGTCTTAAAATCTCATCTGTATTACTGAGGGATATTACACATGATATCCTTTTATTTATAAATATTATTTGGAGATTCTAATTGCAGAGTATATTTCAAAATTACCTTCTCATTTTTATACATGCCCCAAACACAGAGACATCTCCTTCACATTGTATAGAACTGGCTCTCAGTGAACATTTGTCAGGTTGAGCTGATTGCATTCCTATTCTCCTGATTTTTAATTGCCCTCAAAGAAATTATATGCCAAAAGATCCCTGGAATGTCCTCTTTCCTATCTACGCCATTATTTACAAATGAAGAGTTAGGTTACAATCTGAACAAGATACTTTTATCCACCCGAGACTGGGTTTATGACTTCCTACAGGAAAACACAGAGTGACTCAAGATAACTTATTTCTCTGACCTAATTAATACCCATTCCCTTTTCTTTTCTTTTCCTCCTTTGCTCCAAACAAGCAAGTCCCGCCCTACTTGGAAACACTACTCCAGATCCTCCTTTTCTGGAAAATCTTTCAGATATAATCCCAAATGATTCCGATTACTTCAGTTAGTCAATCCAACCCTTGTAGCTGGACTTTATCTTCCTCTCTACTCAGTATCTAACACCCTTTAGGAACCATGCATCTCCACTCTGAAGAAGAGGTCCTCTCTAGCCCTGCCCTTGATGCTGCTGATGCTTCTGAGGTACTGACATACATTCTTTTTTTTTAAATTGAAGTACAGTTGATTTACAATGTTGTGTTAGTTTCTGGTGTACAACATGGTGATTCAGATATATATATATATATATATATATTCCTTTTTATATTCTTTTTCATTATAGGTTATTACAAGATATTGAATGCAGTTCCCTGGGTTATACAGTAGGTCCTTGCTGTTTATCTACTTTATATGTAGTAGTTAGCTCTGCTAATCCCAAACTCCTAATTTATCCCTCTCTTGCTTTTCCCCTCTGGTAATCAACCAGAAGTTTGTTTTCTATATCTGTGAGTCTCCTTTTGTTTTGTAAATAAGCTCACTTATACCATTTTTTTAAATTCCACAGGTAAGTTATATATGATACTTATCTTTATCTGACTTACTTCACTTAGTATGATAATCTCTAGATCATACATTCTTTTTATATTCTAGAAAACTTCCATCTGCTGCAGCTCTACATTATTGTCTTTATTTCCATTCTTCTGCACTTAGTGAAGATGGACAATAACTGGACATTGCTCTCACAGAGGATATACTTTCTCTCTTCTATATGCACTAAAATAATTTTGATCCATCACAGCCCTTCTCTTTTATAAGCTCAGTCATCTGAATTTCTTCACCCAATCCACAGTGATCCTATTTTCCATTAAGAAACAAATTTCTTTTCAGTCTTCCTCTAAAGTTTTTCAAAATTAGAGTTCACCCCGACCTCCAAAATTTAGCTATACCTTTATTTTTTGGATTCTTTCCTCCAGCGGCATCCTGCCTTCTGATGAATTCAGAACCATAAGGGACTCTTTAATCCCTGTTATCCAATGAATCACATCATGTGCAAGATCATGCAAGGGCTGGGCCTCGGCAGGAGGTAATTTATCCTCTTCATCAATTTCACATATTTGTCTCAATAATGCCTGGTATCTATCAGTCAAGCGTGTTGATTCCATTACTATTTCTTCCTCCTCAGTAAACCCATATTCCTTCACAGAGTTGCTCAACTGGGCCATAGATTCAAATTGTTCCCTGTAAATTCCAAATGTCATGGAAAGTTTATAAGAGCCACGATGCCATGTAAGAAAACATATTCCCAAGAAATGTATTTCATGCAAGATCAGCTATACCTCTTTCTAGCTAGAGCTTGGCAAAACAGCTCAGTTTTCTCTCCTGATCCTTCCATTTCTTTCCATTTTTCTTCTTGATTAGTCAACCACTTACTCAGATTACTGTGATCATCCTGGAGTCTAAAAGAACATCACACATGTTAGAATAAAAAATAAGCAAAAAGTATTAATCAGAAGAGAAGGTTGGCGCAAAACTTATTAGCCAACCAGGTTTTTCTTACTACTTTTTTTGGTATCCTTTAGAGAAAATTTAATTTGTAACATTAATATCTGAAAAATAAGAACCTATATCATAGTGGAATTCTAATGAGCCACATATATATATCATAAAAAACTGGAAACAAATGGAAAATATTTTTAGACTCTCCCCAGAAACTTTGTCATAATTTGAAGAATTCTCCAAACGTCTACACTCCTAGAGCCAAACTGGGATTTGAAAGTATGTATTTTATTTTTGAAATTTGTGTGTACTGTGTAGCCCACTGCTAGCTGTACTGAGGCAGAGAATATATGAAGATGCCATCAGCAAATATTTCATTAGTCATCACCCTTATTTCCTACCTCAGTAGCTGCTGCAAGTACTCATCAAGCTCCTTTGCTCGTGCCTGGCATAAGGACTCCATTTTTTCTAATTCAATTTCTTGACTTACAATCCAACTGTGAAGATTCTTAAAATGTGCTTTGGGCAGATGTTTCTTCACATGATTCAGTACAGTTCCCACCTGCTGTATTTCACTGCCTCTTCCTTCAAGAGTCAAGAAATCCTTAAGAAAGACAAAGTCAATTATATCCACCAGGCAAGTCTAAGTATGGTCCCTACCACCCCCGTGACATTTTTCCAACATGGTATACAGACATGCCATCTTTTTAGCATCCTATATAAAAGAAGGTCTATGAAGATATGGCTAACTCCAATGGCCAATGATCAAAAGACACTTTATATTAGTTCTACAGTGTGTGTGTACATTTGCATTTGCATCTGACTTTCTGGGAATCCCACCAAGCGAAATAATGCCAACATCTGGATCAGTGGGAGTAAGACCCGGAAAGCCATATTTTCCTATCTTGGCTCTGCTGAGCTTCACATAACTACTTGCTTCTTTCTGGCAATCAATATGTAAAACTAAATAGCCTGTTCTCTATTTCACTTTGTCCAAATCAGGACTTTACTTCAATGTTTGCATTTCAAGGTTTGAGCATCAGTTGCTGAGACTCATGCAATGGGCAAAGTTAAAGGAAAAAAAAAGTTGGGCTATAAACTAAAAAAGAGAAGAAAAGTGATTCTGTGAATAAAGAATGGTATCATCAAAGCAAGGAATGTTTAACATCATCGATAAACTTGAGAGTATAATTTATCACCAAAGCCTAAAGTACTTGATAATCTACCCTAAAGTGATCAAGTATTAAGAATGCCACACGCATTTTAAATGCCCCCAGGCACTTTGCCTCTTATTTCAGGCTACCTTCCAGTCCACTACCTTCCAGTCCACTCCCATCAGCAGTGTATCAAAGTTCAACTGCAATTTTTAAAAGAAATATGGCTCAGAAAAGACTTTATAAAAAGTCAAGAGATCTCTTACAGAAAGTAAAGGGACTTCAAAGTTCACATTAGGTAAAGTCTTTATTTTATTCAAATATGATTTTAACACAACTGATTTCACCAGCTAACATTAAGTTAATGAGCATTCTTAGAATAACTGTAAAAAGAGATTCTAAGTCCCTTGCACCCTTACCCAGTAAACCCAGAGTTTCAAAACATGTGGGAAAAGGCTAGGTTTTTGGAAATATTATCTCTATGTAGGGAAATAACTAAGTCAAATCTACTTATATACAATTCTGTCTCCACTATTTTCATTTTGATAAATTTTGATTGAAATGTGTACATGTTGTCTTACAGTAAGTTTTTGTAGCTTTTGTTCCACACTCTTTTTTGTTTCTGATGATTCAAAACACTCCTTAAGGTTCATTTTAATGTTGCCAAACCAGTCATTAAAGTTCTTGCACTGATCTGCAGGAAAAAAACAAAAGAAGCTGTATTCATTTAAGGAAGACTTCATACATCTTGTTAAAGTAAGAGATTTACTTGCTTCCCTCGCCATGGGTACAAGGGAGTGTAAAATGATAATAAACTAAAACCTAATTTTGAGGGTTAATAGAGGTCTGCATGATAATTGTGACATATCTTCTACACCAAACCTCCTTTCCAAGTATACAGGACACCTAAAGATACCTGCAGGGGCTCACAGGCATGTTCCCAGATTCACTGACCACAGTGAGCAGGTCAAAGGCTAGGACCCTGGTGAAATACTCCTTCATAAAATTAAGATCTGGGACTTGAACAAAAGAGATGTTATTTACAACAAGTATAGATCAGTGAATATTTGCTCTGAAAAGATTTATCTTAATATTATTTCCGTCAATAGAGTTTGTGCATCTCTAAGGGAAGCTTCGATTAATTAGCCTTTGTGTTCACGGTACTATTCATACTTCAAGATTCCCAGAAACATGGTAAGAGAAACACTGCACTCACCATTCAGTAACTTAGAAAAGTGATCTTGCAAAACACTTTTTTTGGTATTAAATAAATCACTGACACTTTCATATTGCTTTTTTAATTCAGAGAGTTCAGGAGTCAGACAACCTATTTGATTCTCCAGTAATATCATACTGTGCTTCTGCTGTAGAATTTGCTGTTGAATCTCCTAAATATACAAACAACAATTAAGTCTTAAAATGGGCTCAGTTTACACAAAGCATATTAGGTATCCATTGTTTCAGTAAAAATCTGGATAATTTTTTTATTGGGTGGATCTACTTTCTCTTAGCCAATAAATGTATAATGAGATGCAATTTCATATCAAATAATTACTGTCCACGATGCAATTCAAAAGTGAAGCTGTTAAATACAAACTGTTTTTCTGAGTTTTTCCCCCAGGCTTTCATTTTTATACTACTTTTATAATAATTGTTTTTATTAACCTCAGGAGGACAAGACCATCAGAAACAAGTGTGAAAATAAACCCAAACCACAGAAGAGAAGATGCTGGGAAGTACCTCGAGTTTAGTAAAGATCTCCAAGCTGTCGGAAGGAGACAGAGCATTTAAGAGGGACTCAGTCATTCCAATCTGGGTCTTGGCTTGGTCGAGATCCTCCCTTAGCTCAGCTGTGCTGCCACTGAGTGCACAGCAGTTGGATTCACCTGTTAAACGCATTTTCACACCTTCTATCTTGCTCAAAATAGAGGACTCCATGACCTGAAATCACGAAATATATAAAGTACTGTAATGGACTTTATTTAACTGGATTTTAAGACAACTGCATTGCTGGAGAATGAGTTGAAACTTTGCTTCATTTCAATGTGAAATAAATTCTTCTCTCTGATTCTTTGCTGTTCTGTATCACTGATACAACAATTCAAATATTGCCTTTTAAGAAAAAGAGTAACATGAAAACCTGAAATTGATGGTCTGATTTTTTTTTCTAAGAGACTAACCCCTAAAACAGGTTTCTCTAACATACCAATTGAGGTGCTATCTCAGGGTGCTCATCTGAAAATATATTAAAAGCATACAGAAAAACTTGAATAGCCAGCATTTATTAAGTGATTATTATGTACCCAGCATCACAGGGAGCACTTTGTGTACAAAACACAGGCTTCTGAAGGATAAGCAACTTGCCCAAGACCACAAAGCTGGCAGGTGGCAGAGCCAGGCCCTCACCCAGAATGCCTGACTCTAGAGCTCACATTCAGGCACTGTGCATTTTGATTTAAATAAAAGTCTAACAAATCTCTTCACACAATAGAAAATCTCACTTGGGGCAATCTCTCTATTTCTCCATCTAGCAACAAGTCAACCTGGTACCACTTGAGCCATATTGCCCTTTCTATGCCCAACACACTCCTGAGGAGACCCTTGTTACTTTACATGGAAGCAGGGTAACACCTCCCCTCTGCAAAAGAGGCCTGAGAAATAAGTGAAACGAGAATAAAAGAATGCAAAAAAATACTATTCATTCTAAAATAGGACAAATAGAATAACCTATACTGACTACTAAAAATTTGGTTGGACAGACATAGTTATGGTTACTAAAGGGGAAAGAGGATGAGGAAGCGATAAATTAGGAGTTTGGGATGCAAATTACTGTATATAAAATGGACAGACAACAAAGTCCTACTGTATAGCACAGAGAGCTACATTCAGTATCCTATAATAAACCATAATGGGAAAGAATATGAATATATTATACCTGAATCACCATGCTGTACATCAGAAACTAACACAACATTGTAAATCAACCATTCTTCAGAAAAACAAAATTGGTTGGACATAATATAAGAAATGAATAAAGGTAAATTAAATAATGATCCTAATTTTATTTTAGTTTTAAGAATTAGAATTCCAGTTTATGAATATTACTTTAGAAGATACAGAGCATCTTTAATTGCAACTTTTAAACAAAAATTCTCTTACCTGTAATTCAAGAGGTATCTCACTGCTTTGAAGCAGAAACTGTATTTTTGCCACTCTTTTAGAAAATTCTGAAGGTTTTTGTTCATGGACTTGTAACTCCTCCTAAAACACAGTGTTAATGGAAAACATCTTTTTATTTTATATCTTATTTCCTGGTACCCTTAATTGCTACTGAAAATATATAGAAACTGAAAGAGCCTTTAAATTTCCCCTAATCACTTGTCTTTGACAGAGTCCTGGGAGTTACAAGACTAAGTGTCTTCAAGGCCTAGGCAAATGTCATAACTGAGTGAAACGTTCTAACAATAAGACAGTAAGAGAGGCTGGACTTGTGCTACCCGAGAACGCAGTGCCTGCCTAGAGGCATCACTGCTCATAGATCTGCACGTATAAACTGTATACATAAACATGTATAAACTTTATGTGTTTACATAAAGCCAATACACACACACACACACACACACATACCCCATGCTGGCAGATGTGGCCCACAGGCTAGCAGTCTATATTCCTTAACTTCAAATTTTTAAACAACCTGTATCTCAAGACAAATTTAAGGGATTCTTAGTGATCATTTGTTCCACTTAGAACAAATTACTTCATGACTATCATAATATACCCAGGAAACTCATAAATCTCCACACATTTTGAAAATATTTTCCAAAAGTATAAAAATGGATATGTGAATTTACAAGTGAATAAAATGACCAAAATTAGAGAAAAAATGAGATTTGAAGCCTTACACCTGGCATACTGTCAAGCCATCATGCACATACACATACATTTCATATCACACTACACCACATAAAACTGCCAAGATTTGGCTGGTTTTTGACCTGCAAAGATTGTGATTTTATATGGTCCAAACTAATAATATGCAAACAAGCAAGCAATAGAAAGAATTCTTTCTGCAGTTAATTCTTTTTTTTAAGTGGGGGGAGGTAATTAGGTTTATCTATTGCTTTTGGTGGAGGTACTGGGGGTTGAACCCAGGACCTCATGCATGCTAGGCATGCACTCTACCACTGAGCTACACCCTCCCCACTAGAGTTAAAAGAGATAACTTTAATTCTTTCTAAATGGCAACACCTGAATTGACTTTTAAAAATTAACCTTTTTTTGAAGCTCTATAAAGATTTTGATACTTAGCCTAGTGTTCTTCTAATCTTTCTGAGGGAAGGCTTGATTAAAATCATGAAGACTGTCCATCATGATCCAGATCAGAAGTTAACAGTCTGAGGGCTGGCACTGTTTTTGTAAATAAGCTTTTGGGCAACCCAGCTACGTTCAAGCATTTACGTATTCTTCACGACGCTGCTTTCCTGCTACAACAGCAAAGCTGAGCAGCTGTGACGGTGACCAAATAATTGATCTATAAACCTGAAATTACTATTCAGCCCTTTAAGAAAAGTCTGCCAATCCCTGGGGCCTAGATTGACCACCTAGGAACAATTACGCATTTTGATGATATTCTTAAAGATCCCATAAATCTTATGGAAACTTTGCATAATAGTATCTTAAAAAGTAAAACATAAAATAGATTATGAAGGATTATAAAGGAAAACAATTACATTAGGTTAGTTATAAAAATACTACAAGTAATTTATACCATAATGATATACATGTTTCTCTATTAATACCTTAAAGAATAGGATCTAGCAGTGGACCTACTTAGTACCGTAGTTTCTAGTGACAAGGGTAATAGCTGCAATAATCAGAAAATGACTCTAAAATATCTGTAATTTTCTTGATAAAATTGTCACATAAAATGTTCGTCCTACTATGTTTGCTGACTACTTCATGGTGGAAACACACATTACACTTTACTTAGACATTCATGGAAATAAAGATGCAGCTGAGATTTTTTTCCCATATGAGGTCATTTCACCTACGAACCTCCTGGGTGCCTGTGAACCCCAGATTAATAATACCTGCTACCATCTTCCTAGGTGTCACAAAGCAAACAACAGAGTTCAGGTCCCACTCAAGGGATAATGAAAGAAATACAAGACTTCTATGGTATTTCTCTACCCCGCTTCAAGAAAGCAAACTTGGTATTAAAATGTCAACTGTGTACAAAAAGAGCATATATTTTATCTCTGTTAAATTACCCTCAGTTTTTCTCTTTCTTCTTCAGTCAGTTGATGTAATTCTATTTTTTGAAGGGCCTTTTCAGTCCACTCATCGATACCATTTTTTAAGTTAAAAAGGTTGTCCCATAAAGCTAGAGCTCGACCAAGATTTTCATAGTAGTCTTCTGTCTTCTCATTTATCTACCATAATTAAGAAATAAAAATAACACACTTAGTGGTGAAAAGTATAGGAACCACTGTTTCAGTCAAATTCAACTTTTTTTTAAACATAATTTCAAAATAAAATTTTAGACTACCTTTACTTGCTTTATTCATCAACAAAAAATTTGCTTTAGCATATCATGTAGTTCTTTCTTTAACAGAAAAAAAAAACTTGGCTGGTTTGCTGCAGCTTATATGCAATTAAAAGCAACAATCTTCCTAATTTTAAACCACAATAAATAAAAGATGCTTTAAAAAACCCAGATCAAACTATAGCACATACAAATTCTTAATTTGCAAGTCATAAAAATACCATTACTACTAAACCAAAAATGTATTAAATAAATATAAAGTTGAACATCAGTATCCTGCACAAATGGGTAATAATATTAACTATCTTAAATGAGTTGAGTATGCACCTGTATATCGAAAGACTATAGATCCATTTGTTAGTAGTACCTAACTCTGGAGGTAAAGTTAAATCCTAAGTCATAAACTTCTTATTATTTGAACATTTTTCTAATGAGCACTTTTGAATTTTATAGATAAAAAATATTAAAAATACAAAAGAAAAGATCAATTTAATTGTTAGAAGATAGAATTTCTAGTCAATTAAATTATAACTTACATCCAGCCATCTATCCACAATAATATTAGCCTCTTTCTCAAAAGGAGGCTCTTCAAAGGTTCTCATTTTATTTAAATGAAATTGTAGATTTTTGCAGATCTGGTTAATCTTGTCTACAATCTCTAAATGTTCATTAAATTCTTCTTTGACAACTTCAATCTGTAAAAAAGATATGAAACATGTTTTGATAAACTGATAAAGACTTATTGCCCCACTTCATCAATGAAAAGTTTTTAGAATCCTAGCCATCCAGTTTAATAATAATCCTACACCCAAATTTCTTGCCCCACTCTGCATGATGAAATATCTATAATGGTCTAAAATCGTGTTTCTTGTCTATGTGAAATAATACTCTACCCTAAAAAAGGCACCTCCACTCAATGGTATATAAAAATGACAGGTCATAGATTCCTCCAGTAGGAATCATCTTTGTAATGTCAAAGAACCTAAGTGCTCATCTGAATAAAACGGACAGAACTTTAAAACATCTTTAATATGACTTCTAGTTTAATCTTCCATGATTCTAACTCCAACATCATTTCTAACGTGGAAGTTGTGAAACACTCACTATCTTATCAAAAGGCCAATGATCTTGAACTAAAACATAAAATTTGAGCGTTGAATAATGCAGTCTTAATGCATCCACTTAATTTACTAATCTTACACAAACATTTTAATGATTATACAAAATTTGAAAATAGTGATTTCTCATAAACAAAAACCTAAGAATTATACACCCAGGGTTGACTTCCATTTCTGGGAATACGCAGCAGACATAATTTTCCCTATTCTTCCCACTAAGTACAACTAAAAACCCTGGACATCTTATACAAAATAAACCTAAGACTGAAAGGCGGAAAATTCAAGCAGGGAAAACAGCTGGGCGCATCAGCTCCTGAAGACGACCTGGTGATGAATTCCCTGCGTTTTCTTTTCCCCTTAGATATCCCAGATTGTGTGTTGGAGAAGCCAGCACCTGGTAATACCAACAGATATAGACCACAGACCAAAAACACTCCAAGAAAAGCCTCCTCTCTTCAGCCAAAGAACCAGAACATGGCAACCTAGCGGCCCGGTGGTGGGGGAATAAATTGAAAGTTCAGGATTTGCAGTCTGCTTGATTTTAAAACTTACCATATAGGTACAATAAGAAAGATTACATCAGTTGGCAGAGGGACAGACACATAGATCAATAGATCAAAGAGAACCCAGACAAATACACAGAACTGATTTTTGACAAAGAAGAAGAAGCACTTCAAAAGAAGAAAAGAAGACTTCAACATATGGTGCTGGAGCAATTGGATATTTATAGACAAAAACATGAAACCTGACCTCAGTCTCACATCTTATACAAAAACTAACTCTAAACGAAAGATGGACTGAAATGTCAATCATGACACTATAAAACTTTTAGAAAAAAAAATAGGAGAAATTTTACCATCTGGAGCTAGGCAAAAACTTCTTAGACTTTGACACCAAAAGTACAATATATGAAAGGAAAAGTTGATAAACTGGACTTTACCAAAATTTAAAACTTTTGCTCTTTAAAAGACCCTATTTAGGAGATGAAAAGGCAAGCTACAGTTTAGGGGAAACTATCTGCAAACCACATATCTGACAAATGACTAGTGTGCAGAATGTAAAGAACTCTCACAACTCAACAGTAAAAAAAAAACACAAAACAATCTAATTAGAAAATGGGCAAAAGATATGAAGAGACATTTCACCATAGATGACACACGAATGGCAAATAAGTACATGAAAAAATAATCAACGCCATTAGCAATTAGGAAAATGCCAATTAAAATCACCATGTGATACCACTACACATCAGTCAGAATGACTAAAATTAAAAGTAGAGACAATGTATAATGCTGGCAAGGATGTGCAGAAACTGGATCACTCATACATTGCTGGCGGGCACGTAAAATGGTATAGCCACTCTGGAAAGTTTCTTTAAAAATGAAATGCATCCCTGGTCGTCTAGTGGTTAGGGAAAAAAAAAAAGAAATGCAAGATTAACACACAACCCAGCAGCAGCAGGGCAGGGCATTTAACCCTGAGAAACAAAAACTTATGTTCACACTCCCCCCAAAACCCTATACAAATGTTTACAGCAGTTTTATTCATAATAGCCAAAAATGAGAAACAACCCAGAGGTCCTTCGGAGGTGACAATTAAACAAGCCATGGTACATCCATATCATGGACTCCTATTCAGCAAGAAAAGGGAACAGAATACTGACGCATCCAAGAGCCAGAAAGAATCTCCAGAGCATTATGCTGAGTGAAAACGGCCAGTCCCAAGAGGTTACATATTATGATTTCATTCATCGAAGATTTTTGAAATGACAAAATTATAGAAATGGAGAACATATGAGTAGTTGTGAGGGGGCGTGAGCAAGAGGGAAGTGGTAGGGCTATAAAATGACAACACAGGGATCATGGGGTGATGGAAATATTCTTCCCCTTGACTGTATCAATGTCTGTAACCTGACTGCACTATTGTACCACAGCTGTACAAGATTTTACTATTGGGAAAACGCAGTAAAGGGTACACAGGATCTCTCTGTATTATGTCTTACACAACTAACTGCATGTGATCCTACCATTATCTCAAAGTTAAAAGTTCAATTAAAAAATTTAAAATTATTTAAATGTTTTAAATGGAAAAAAAAACAAGTAGGGTGGTTTCCTTCTGACCGGAAGCTGACTGATACGCTGGCAGAGCTGGGATTCAAACTCAGCTGTTTTTCTCTCCCAGTTCAGGACTCTTTTGCATTGGACGTAATAAATGCTTATTCAGATAAATGAAAACATATATACATATACACCCTCATTTTTATTACATTCAAAGAACTTTGTTGTTACATTGACTCGAGCTACCACTGGGTGAAAGAAAAGAAGGAGCAGGAGAGGACAACTTTAGCATTGGCAGGAACTGCAAATTTTGCTCTACCATGAATGGAAGGGGTAAATTAAAGGAAACCGGATCCCTCTGACAGTTCCCGAACTTTAATAGTCCCCTGACAGTCTAGCCTTCCAGTCTTACTTTCGCACTTCTGCCTTTCATTAAAGAGAGTGGAAATCTGGCACCATATCCTAGATAAACATCCAGGTTTCTACGGTCCTGAAGAACAGAAGTTCTCAGTGGTATCATATTTCAGCCACCAGTGCAAAGCATCATGACAATACATACAACAGAACTGAGATTATTTCTGAAGACAGTACCTAAGTCATCAGAAAATTAACTGAGAGTTATGTTCACAATCAGTACTAAACAGTTAAAAAAAAGTGTATGAGAAATAATAATTAATACTAGCGTATTTCTTTATATTACATGCAAGATAATATATTATTTCAGCAAATATACAAAGATACCACATTAGATACAAGATTGTCAACATAATAAGATCAGACATTTATACGATTCTTAACAGTAATTACACTTGTTTTATTAATTTTTAAGATGTTTTTGTGACTAAAGCTTTATATCTGAGAAAGGGGTACAAAGCAAAGTTAACCAATTTTTACTTCTGCCATATACATATTTCAACTACACCTATAAGGAAGGCAAATTATGATGAATGAAACATGACTTTGTTGTCATATACATGGGCTTAAATAATGATTCCACCACTTATTAATCAGCGATATAATTTTGGGAGTTACTTAACCTGTATCCTTACTTTTTTTCCCTGCTTAGAGAGAAAGTTGCTAATCTGTCCAGTGAAGCCAGAGTAATGATGCCATCCCAGCGGGTCTGGAAGGCAGAACATCAAGCCAAAGAGGATTATTCTCAAGCCTTAAGGTTGAATGTTGTTTGCCTTGTTAGGTTTCAGAGTTACTTGGGACCCACCACCCCTTTCTTCTTTCCTATTTCTCCCTTTTGGAGTGGAAGTATCTATCCTATACGTGTCCCACTACGGTATTTTGAAAGCAAATAATTTGTTTGGTTTCATGGATTCACAGCTAGAGAGAGTAAAACAATAAACAAACAGAGATCTCAACTACATAGAGCTGGGAGACCAGAAGAGGGAGGCGCTGTCACGCCTGTGATGACAGCAGAGCCCAACAGGAAGAAGAAAGACTTCTTCACTGGTAAGGACTCAGCCAATGATAAACCATGGACTCTGTTTACTAGCCCGCCCAACTTCCTTTTCCCCTCAATGAAAGAATTCTCCTTTCCTGCTGTGTAGGGACTTGCCCTTGACTCTCACAGTTGCAGAACCTGAAGTGCAATTCTGAACAAATCCCTCTTTGCTGGAGAAATATCTGGCAGTCTGTTTGTTTTAGGTAAGTGAGAAGAATTTCCCTCAGGCTGAATTATACTTTGAGTTTCACCTATATCTAATTTAGATGACATTCAGATGAGACTTTGGACTTAGCTGGAGCAAGTTGAGACATCTGGGGCTGATGGGAAGGAATAAATGTACTTTGCATGCGAGAAGGACATGAATTTTAAGGGGTCGAGGGCAGAATGTTATAAACTGTGAGAATTGTCTCCAGAACTGTAAGAAATGGTTACAGATAGTGGAATTAGCTATCTGGTCAGTTCACAAGGCAGGGACTCAGGATCTGTGAACAAGGCAGAGACCTTGGTCCTGGAACAACAGTACAAGGTGGGAAACTGGTATTCCAGGCATAGTAGAAGAGTACCTATGTGAACTGGGACACAAGGTTGAGGGATCTAGTAAAGCTGATCATGTTGGATACTCTGAGAACCAAGGGAACCATAGCTTCTTAAATCCACTTGGTTGAAGACAGGATCCTCCTAGATTCTGAGTCCACCAAACCCAGAAGCTGCCTCTGCTGGATAGAACCAGACAGGTTTCATCTAAGAGACTCTGACTACTTGTCTGCTCATAGCTTGGTGGCCTTCCTCAATTAGGTCTCATGGAGACCAGTTACACAGTCACATACTGTATAACTGGTGTCCAAACAGAGCTCCTTCTGATTGGCCAGTTCCAGGAAAGTGTGTCTGAGAAAGTGGGCCCCAGACAGGGGCTACTCCTCAACTGTGCCACTGATGTGACCTTGAGTGTCAGTTCAGCTTCAGAGACAAGAGTTCTAGACAAAGACTAAATTGCCTGTAAGAATCTGGTCTGTAGGCACACCTTGAGATACTGCGGATTCCGGTCAGATCACTGAAAGAAAAGTGAGTATTGCAATAAAGCGAGTCACGTGAACTTTTGGGTTTCCCACTACATATAAAAATAATGTTTATACTATGCTGTAGTCTGTTAACTGCCTAATTATGTCTAAAACACAACGTACATACCTTAATTTAAAAATAGTTTGTTGCTAAAAAATGCTCACCACCATCTGAGCCTTCAGCAAGTCATACTCATTTTGCTGATGTAGGGTTTGAAATCTTGTGACAATTATCAAAATGTGACATAGAGACAGGAAGTGAGAAAATTCTGTTGGAAAAATGGCACCAACAGACTTGCTCGATAAAGGGTTGCCACAAATCTTCAATTCGTAAACACACACACACACACACACACACACACACACACAAGCAAAGTACAATAAAACAAGGTATGCCTGTATATGTATAAACCTCACTGAGGATGCTTTCAGCAACTGGAAAGTTTAATAAAATTCTTCTAACAACCAGGCATATCAAGTAGAGGCTATTTCACATATGTCTCTGATACTTTGGCAGAACTTTAAGATAGTACTCACAGAACCAAGAGGAAAAGCAAAAATAAGGTCCTACTGTACAGCACAGGGAACTATATTCAATACTTTGTAACAGCCTATAATGAAAAAGAATATGAAAAGGAATATACATATATATGTATAACTGAATCACTATGCTGTACACCAGAAATTAACACAACATTGTAAACCGACTATATTTCAATTTAAAAAAAAGATTGTATCTGCGGAACAGCTGAGGCGAAAAGAAAAGGAAAGAAAAGAAGAGAAAAAGAGGAAAAGCAACTCTCTGGTATACAGTAATGCAGTGTTGGATATTCTTTTCAAACTACCCCATTATTCTGCCACTCTGGTTGATAATCAGATTAAATCATAGAAAATAATGACATCTAGTGTCGAAAAGTGTTAGTCTGAGAATATGAAGTTGTGATCACTGAGGCTATGAACACAGAGCAACTTGGAAATAAACTCACACATCTTTATAGAGATTGAATAAATAAAAACATAATTTTTCCTCTATTCACTAACAACAGAGGGGGTTCTCCTAGTACCTTCTTTCTCTCAAGTCTGCAATGAAGTCTTAGGTTCTTTTTAGGTGGAAGGTCAGAGCACAGACTGTTCCAACCTTACAGAGGTAGCAGCAGGGGTGACCCCAGACTGAGAGCATAACAGAAAGGATTTGGCCCCAAAAGCCCCAAAAGAACCACACCCCACCAGTGTTAAAACCCAAACAGAAGCAACCCAGCATCAATTTAGGGGCTGATTTTTTTTTCAAGCCCTAGGGATAAGTTCAATAAATTCTTAGATACCTGATAAAAGAGAGTCACCAGTAACTTCATCTAAACCAAGTTTTGAAAATGACTCCATTTATAATATCCTGTCTACTGCCAGGCTTGCCACCGAGGCCACCACACAGTTTCCTCTGGAATTTGGACTCACCTCTGCTATCCTCTTCTTCAAGTTCTCCTTTCCCATGTATGAAGCCTGGAGGGAGATGACATTCTCTTCTTTTTGAATCAAAGTTGTCAAGACATTTTTAAAAGTCTGATACTGTTTTAAGAGCTCCAAAACTCTTTCACACTGGTCAAGACTACAAAGAGGAAAAGAAGTAAAAAAAGCTCAATGTCTGAAAATAACAAAACCATTCTTTCTCTTTTAAGTATCCCTCCCACATTAATGACTAATAAGTTATAGAAGGACTTTTCATTTTGACGTGGTTTATAATTATTTTATAATTTAACCTAAGAATGATGGTATATATACTTATCTGACAAATGGATGGTGTAAATAATCACTGGATTACTATTTTCACAAGGTCAATATTAAAAAGTTACCAGATGTAAGCTCTAGAAAGAAACACAGGATTCATAACCTTAAGGAATTAGCACCTCAATTCCTTTTTTTCTTTCTTTTTCTTTTTATTGGAGTATGGTCAGTTACAGCGTGTCCATTTCTGGTGCACAGCACAATGTCCCACTCATGCGTATACATACATATATTTGTTTTCATATTCTTTTTCATTAAAAGTTATTACAAGATATTGAATATAGTTCCCTGTGCTATACAGAAGAAATTTGTTTTTTTAATCTTATTTTATATATAGTGGCTAACATTTGCAAATCTCAAACTCCTAAATTTACCCCCTCAATTTCATAATTAACTAAGAGACATCTTGGTAAACAGCACCTCCCTAATATTATCCTTAGAGATTGTTTCAATATTAATTTCAATATGATACAAGTATGTCTATTTCAGCTCATTCTACATTAAGTCCTTTAAAAAAGAAAGTACAGATGATGTGGCAGCTAGGACACCTGGTTTCTAGTTACAACTGGGCACTAATGGGTCGTGTGACCTGAGATAAATTACTTTAGGCTCTTTGGACCTCGGTTCTTTCCTCTGTGAAATCAAAGAGCAGACTACATCAAAGACCACAGACAGACTTCATCTTGACTTCTGTACGCTCAGGTTCCAGGAGGAAACAGGCAGTGTACTCGGAGACGGATGTGGTGAAGAGACCACTGAGAGCAGAGCCACAGAGGAGAACCCAACAGGAGCTGCCAGGACCACTTGCTGAAAAGGGAAGGGGTTAAGATGAGCCTGACCTCTCTCTCTTCTTGCTCACGAATCTCCTGCTAGGACCTCCCACTTCCTAACACAGCTGGAATCCTTGTCGTGGGTGGTACAGTCTATAGGGGTCAGTCTTCTCCACCACTCCCACCCCGGGCAGAGAGTAAGAGAAGGATGGAGACTACTCAGCAGAATCGCCTGCCGGGACTGATAGGTAATGGCTGTGACACAGTGAAGAAAACTTGTGAGCCTTATCCAGGCTCTGTAGGAAAGATGGTGGTAACTGAATGGCATCACCTGCCATTCAAGTCGAGTAGTGTGGTAGAATAATGTCCCACCTCCCAGAGATGACCATGTCCTCATCCCTGGATCCTGTGACTATGTTACCTTACACGGCAGAGGGGACTCTGCAGATGTGATTAAGCTAAGGGTCTTAAAATAGGAACATTATTCTGGATTATCTGAATGAGTACAATATAATCACAAGGGTCCTTATAAGAAGAGGCAGGAAGGCCAGAGTCAGACGGAGATGTGGTAACAGAAGCAGAGATGAAAGAGAAAGACAGAGAGACCGAGATTTGAAGATGCTACACTGCTGGCCTTAAAGATGGAAGAAGCAGACATCAGCCAAGGAATGTGGTAGGTGGCCTCTAGAAGATGGAAAAAGCAAGGAAATCGATTTTCTCTTTGAGCTTCCAGAAAGGAACACAGCTTGGCTTTAGGATTTCCAACCTCCAGACTGTAAAATAAGTTTGTATTGTTTTTAAGCCACTACATTTGTGGTCATTTGTTGCAGCAGCAACAGAAAACTAACGCAGGTGGGGCAATAAAAATCATATACATACTGTGAGCATCTGTCATTCCTGTTAGGTAACCTCTGAAGTTCACCTGGCCATAATCTAGGATCCCTGGTCTTGCCCTAGACATGGGCCTGGTGAGCTTCCAGTGTGAAACTCTGAAGTTTGCCTCTCCTTTAGGTCCATGGGAATGTGTTTTCAACATACAAATTTCAAAAAGTTCACTGTGCCACACTTTTTCAAATTTGGGAGGAATTTTTTTCCTTACCATTCAGCGACCGAAGCCTTTGTATTCTCCCACAGGAGTGCTGTGTCTTGGCACTTCTGACTCAGAACTTTCTCCCTGCCATCTTTGAATTGTGGAAGAGAATTAGCCATTTCTTGCAATTGTTTCTTCTCTTCTTCACATTCATCGAGATCCTTATCCAGTCTGATTAATGATTTCTTCCTTGATGATGAGAGAGAAAAGTTTGATCGCCAATTATTGGCCAATTTGATTTGACACAAAAATGGGTAATTTGGGGGAGCACACTAACTTTAATTTGTCCTCATGAGGTTTATGCCAAAATTACACATTCCTATGACAGAGTTCAGGAGGCACTACATTTCCAGGATACTGGCTGGGTTTTTACTAGAACAGATAAACAAAACCACCAGCAGTAACATTTCTCCATGATGAGCACACTTGTAAAGGAAGTGTATATACATGTGAGAGAAAAGAGTGAAAGGGTACGTATGTATATTGTTGGGAATGTCCACAATGTTTGTAGAAGAGGGGACAAGTGGCATGGAGAGAAAAGATGACAGCAGAGCACTGCAAGTTCCTGGGAAGGGCGGAATGGACAAGAATAAAGGGAATCTTGCCTGTCTACCTTGTGAACAAAATGCTCCCCCAAACCAAAGAAGCGTCATTGGAACTAAGGGCTTTATCCTGTAAATTAATCCTGGCGGGATTAACTGCATTCACTTAGGTCCAAATCACTTTTATCAGGTCCTCAGTTGTCTCTGCTTCCTCCCTTCCAGTTCTCTCTGGCACCCACTCCCATAAGGCTCTCACTCCCTACTGCTCCTCCAAGACCACTCTCAGGATCTCCAGTAACCTCTACACTCCTAACTCATGTTCCAGTCCCAATCTTCATCTGCCTTTAGTCGTCGGCAGCATGCTACCCAGTGGGTCACTTTCTCCTAGTGGAATGGCCTTCTCACTCAGCCCCCACAACTCTCTTGATTTTCCTCCTACTCTCCTGGCCCCTCCTTCTCAGTATCTTTTGCTGGTTCCCCCTCGTCTCCCTGATCTCTTGAAAGGAGTGTCCCAGAGTACACAGCACTGACCTCTTGTCTTGTCTGCCTAAATCACTCTGCTGGCAATCTTATCCCTCTCATGGCTTTAAATGGCATTCTAAAATGCCGACGACTCTCAAATGTATACCTCGCCCAGACCTCTCTCCTGACTCCTGACGCCACCTATTTTTAACAGTCTTATTGATAACTCTACTTGAATGTCCAATAAATATTTTGAACCTACCACGTCTAAAACTGAGCACACCTGATCTTCCATTCAAAGCTTGATAAACTTCAGTCTTTGCCATCCCAGTTAACAGTAACTCCAATCTTTCTTTTACACCTCATGTCCAATGTGTCAACAAACCTTGTGGGCTCTGCTTTTAAAATATATACAGAATCTCAATACTTTTCGTCACTTCACCATCGTTCCGTGCCACCATCATACCTTGCCTGGATTATTGCTATGGGTCAAACCAGACTTCCCATGTCTTCCCTTCACTCCTACAGTCTAATCTCAACATACCATCCTGTTATAATGAAGACCAAATCATTTCCCTCTGCTCAGAACCCTCCAAATGACTTCCCATGTCACTCAATAAAAAAACAAAACTAAAGTCAACACATGACCCACAAGTCCCTACAGGAGCTACAATCCCACCTGTTACCCCTCTGACCCTCTTTCACACCTCTTCCCCTCACCACTGACCTCCTCACCTCATTGCCTCTCCTCAAAGATGCCGGACCCAGTCCCACACCTGCCCTTTGTACCTTCTGTACCCTTTGTACTGCTCCTTTGGCCTGGAGGGCTCTTCCTCCAGGTCGTCACTTGGCTTGTCTCTTACCTCATCTTACTCACACATCACCTTCTCTGTAAAACTGCCTGATAACCCTATTCGAATCACAACCCCTTCTCTTTCCCGGCTTAATTTCTCTCCGTAGCCTTTAGCACCATCGAACATACTGAATATCTTCCACCTCCCACTAGATCCTAAGGCCCATGAGGAGCAAGAACTTTTGTCTGTTTTGTTAACTGCTATCTCCCCAGGACCTAAAACAGTGCCAGGCTTGTTCTAGTAGCAACGCAATTAAAAATTAAAGCAATTTACTAATGTATAGTTTTCATTTATAATTTAATACTTAATTTATTTGTTACTTGTTATTTATAAATCTATAATAAATGTATTAACAATGAAATTGATAACTAAGTTAGTTCCATCCTTCATTCAGAACAGGAGCACTGTAGAAATGGAAGTCTCATTGAGACCAAGGGCTCCGAGAAGTTTCAGAGGGAAGAGCTTTTTCAGCTCAAGAGCCTCAGAAGAGCACTGAGCCTCTGAGGGATTCCAGGTGGTCAGGTGGAGAGGCAGAAAACGGGAGACATTTAAAAAGGGGAGGGCAGCTCCACAAAAGGAACCCTCGCTAACTCATGCTAACATTTTCACCTTCAGGATCTGGTGGCTGACTCTAAATGCCAGAATTAAAACAGCAGCTCTATATAGATAGATGGCTGTCAACTACCGTTTACCGGAATTCTACTGAGTCTGCAGAATCAACACTAACCATAGTTTACCTCTTAAACTTAGCCCCCATCCTAGTCCTGCTGGGAGGGGGAAGAAGGAACAAGGTGTGGCATGTGCACTTTCCACCACTATATTTTCTATCAAATGTGTGGAGTTTTCCAGGCCTACCTCCCTCGAGAGAACCCCATAATAAAAACACTGCAGTAAAGGGACTTTGAAGCAACTCTTGTACTTTATACATATCTTATTTCACTCTTCCTCTGTCCACAAGAATGAAACTTTAAAGAAAAAAATTACATCACACTTTGTAAAGCATAACATCAACCAAAAAAAAAAAAAGCCTGTTTGAAAAGTCTACAGAAAAGAATGCCAAATCCCGAATACAGCGGGATGGAACAGAAGCAGAAAGACATGTGGGATGCATTGTTTCAACTGATAAATACCTGGGGGGGAAAAAACAGAAAAATCTCATTATGCATGGAAATGGACCAAAATGACACCTACCGTTGTTTTATGGCTGGAACAGTTGGATCCTTTAGGCCAATTTTACTGATTTGATTGTGCACATCTTGAATATTTTTCAGGAGTTCATTATTTTTGAAAATACAAGTCTCCAGTAATTTGTCTTCTTCAGTGAGCTCCTCCTGTCCACCAGAGCTAAGTGTCTCCGATGAGTTTTCGGACAAAGCAGCCAGAAGTTTTTCACAGGAGGTGTCTTCTCCCTGCTCGGCATCTGTAATGCTTATCCCAAGCACCTTCAAACGTTCATCCAAATGTCTGGCCTTGTCTTTCATCTGATAAATTTCTCCCTCCTTATTTTCCACTGTCAACGTATTTTCTGGTAACACCTGTGAATCGGAGGCTGAAAGGTCTGTAAGAAGCCCAACAGAGCATTGAGCTGTTCTCAGAGAAGCCAAAAACTCTTCCAGAGCTTTGAGGGCATCTTTACTCCTCTGAACTCTGTGGTTCATTTCTTCAAGTTGTGTTCTGTGTTTCAGGATAATACTCTGTGTTGCCTGCAGGTCAAGCGGGTGTAATTCCTTTAATGCAAAATTGCCTGGCTGTTCCAAATTGTTACATATTTCCATCTGTTTTGCTATGGAATCTTGGATATTCTAAAATAAACATAAGAAAAGCTGAAAAGACTGAGGCAGAAAAAATAAAGACTACACATCAGAAACTAATCTTAAATTACGTCATGAGATTTGATCTAGAAAACTGCTCCTTAGTTTATCCAAGGCTGATGGTCTCCACAGAAGGAAACATTTTAATTACAAATGACCAGATGGCCCAGCTGTTTCATTATCCGATACACTTCCTGGAGTTACAATCCCCAAAATAAAAGAGGTATAGAAAGCTATTGCTTCAATGAGAATTATTACAGGTTGAATCTGAAAAATAAAACTTAAAAATTTTTTTATTTAAGATGGGATTTGGAATGAGTAAATGAGAATATGACACTTTAAGTATATAAGTCTAGTCCAGATATTTAGGATTTCAGGCATTGGAGAAGGCATTCATAAGCAAGCCTTCACTTTGAATTCAAAGAAAATACCTCATTCTTTACTCCACGGTACCTATTTCCAAACTGGCAAGGAATTACACAGTTAAGAAATAAATAACAAGTCTAAATTATTGAAGATTTTTCTGCCCTGGTTTATATTCTAAATAAATACTATTGATGTATGATTAAAAATCCATAAACATGTATAAACCTCTGAAGAACTGATTATTCTATAACTACACTGTGAGGATGTGTATTTACCCTCAGGTTTTGATAAATGTCATCAGCATCAGTGAGATGAAATTCCTGAATGGCCATTTCACGGGGGAGCAGGTCTGAGCCACAGAGGAGGAGCGATTCCTTCTCCACAGGTAACACGATCTGCAGTGCGGTCTCCAAAGACTCCATTCTGGATGGAAAACAAATCAGACATGAGGGGAAAACACAGCAGAAAGATATCCTATAAAACAAATTAATGCCATTATTTAACTAAGAACAGAAAATAATTATTCAATCAAAATACATACAAAGATGTGTACAGATCATCACATAAAAGCAAAACCCAGCGATCCAGAATGGCAAAGAATGAGTTGACTGCTAAATCCAAGTTCTCCTGAGAGTTTAATGGACACGGCATGGAATGGAAAACTGCTGTAAGACATCCTCTCTTTTGAAATACAAAATACTGAATATAACTGAGCCTTGCCTTCATGCCAAAGAAACCTCATTATGAATGCTAATGATTTCATTAGTGGACATACAATAGGGTTCAAAGAATAGGCCAATAAGAAATTAAAATGTGTGACCCTGGATAAATAACATTTAGACGCTGAGCCTCAGTGTCCTCCTATGTAAACTAGGGATAAGTGCCAAGGATACACACCCTACGTAAAGGGATAACATCAGCACCCTTTCATTTTATAAATGAGAACATCAGCGCCCAGAGAAGCTAAGTGACGTGGCCAAATTCAGGCTAAAGGGGAGACAGTCAGAATAGCACAGCCTTTGGAACGCAGCAGACTTTACGTTCCACTTAGGTCTCCAGCCAGCGGTGTGGCTGGGCAATGTGATTTAACCTCCCTCAGAAGCAGTGTCCTCATCACTGAAATGGCGATCGTAATGGTAGCTTCTCTAATGGTTGTTGTGACAACTAAATAAAATAACACACTTAGGATAATGCTAGCCTTGCTTAAAAGAGGATTTAAAAATTTAGTAAATTTAGTAAAGTCATGGTTAATAGATCTCAGAATTATACCTGGTATTAAGAGTCATCTGAAGCTCTCTTTCTGTCCCCTTTAATCTATCTCTTGCCTGAACTATAGAAGGCTTCTTTACGTCACTTTCCAGCTCTTCTAACTTCAATGAAGTGATTTCAAATTCTTTCCAGCAAGCATCAGTTTCATTTTTTAAGACCTAGATGAAACACATAAATTAATTTATCAACAAGTGGGTTAATGGGCACAATTATTCTGTTCTTTCAAAACAAGACATTCACACATCTGTGGGCACGAAAAGTTTCACATGAAAACACATTTGAAAAGATATTTTCCAACCATCTGCAAGTAAACTGTCCTTCAGAGAACAATGATATTGACTGTGCTCAGAGGATTCGTTCAGTGAAGTCAAAGGAGTCAACAATATGGCTTTCAAAGGAATCCAAACTCTCTTTCTGCAAGTTAGATACCCAGAATAAAACTCAAAAAGATACATACAGATGTAAGAACAGATATTCCATTAGATAGTCTATTTCCTCTACATAATAATTCTTTGCTTCTCCCTAAACTAAAAGCAAATTGCAGTGAACCAAAATCATTTTCAAGTGAGAAATGAATAAAATTAACTTATGATTTATAATTAAACATCTAAAATTCTACACCATTCACTATTCTCTTTATCCTGGCTTTTTATTTTTTTAAAAGGCACTGCCTCAGAATCTGAGTGCTCATTGGTATAATTTGTTCTTCACTTTCTCCAAGGATTAGTATAGTTTTTCTAACCGATTCATTATTCAGTCCCAGGAATAAGATCTCATGAGAGTGTCTTAATTGTGAAGAAAATGCGCTAAATCCATCACTTGAACAACAGAGATTTTAACGTATGAATTTTGCTTGTTCAGATGGAAAACAGAGAAGCCAAACTGGGTAGAGTGTGACTCCGGGACTGGCCTCATAAAAGGAAGGTAACTAGAAAACAGCACAGGGCATTGTAGGAACCACCCAGGCCTTTTTTCCACCTGATGGGCTCTCTACAAGAGCTCGCTCTAATGCACCTCCAAGCATACAAGAGTATCGCACTGCAACACACAGATGACCTTCAAAATAAGAAAGATAGTTATTTGTAGAGCTTACAGTTGGTGTGCCCACCACTAGATTGTTTTTTTCTGCAGCCCCTGAATCTGACGCAGTGCTTCCTCTGATGGCTCTCCAGAAGATCATCCCTCACAGTGAAAACTCCCTTCACTACCTGCCCCTTTCTTATTGCCCAACATCAGACAGACAACGTGACAATTGGGTCATGATGATCACTGACAGAAACAAATATTCAGAGTCACTGGTTTTTCACATATTGTTAATTCTGGAGCAAACTAGAAGCTGTGTTGCCTTCAAACACATTGTTTTAACCAAATCATCTGAAGCCTTCATCCCCAACCTAAACACAGTCCAAAACTCTGCCAGCCACAATATGTAGACTATCAAATGAGAGCATGAGCATAAATTAGGACTCTGAATCAAACTCTTCCCTGGGTTTGAGCGTCTTTCTGGAATCAGATGACATTAGAAATGCAATCCAACCAAGAGAGTTCTTTAGAGACATAAACATATGAGACCTCAACAATGCTGAAGTCTATACTAATGGTGGTATTATTTCCTGAAAAAACACAAAACTCCTCTAATAATATTTTCCCTATTTACCTGGAGATCTGTCAGTTGATCCTGGAGACAAACACTACTCCTTTCCTTGTCACCAGGAAAATCTGAAGTAATCCTCGCAATGTTGTTCTGCAGGTGTCGTTCAAGAGTTTCTCTGTGTGTAACATACCTGGGGAAAAAAATTAAGTGCAATGTTACTTAATTTTAAAGATAAGACCAAAAAAATTTTTTTAAATTACTGTCAACTGACAATGAAGAAATCCCAGAGAATTTCCGTTTAAGTTACTGGACCACATGTAAAAATCATGACTAAAGGAAAAATAAAAACTTATGAAAACATAACAGTTTTGCAATGATGAAAGGTTTTTGCTGGATTTCCTAATTGTTTGGAAGAGTTTAGTTTACCTTTCCAGTAAACTATTGACAGACGCACTGTGATCCTTTTCATGCTTCTCCATGACGCTTTCCTCCAGTTGAGGCTTTAACTTGGATTCCAGGCTAACATCCTTAATTGATTCCATTGCCTAAGCAAATGTGCAAAACAGTAAACATAATATCTTCGATATACTTAACTGTCTGGAAAAGATAAACACTTTATGATACAAAGGGATATCACTGATTCTTTATACCCCAAACCAGGACCCCTTGTTCCTTCCCCACACCTTCTGACTGGCAGTCTGGGCTGTGGTACACAGCAAATCCCCACTTACCTAGAATTCAAGCATTTAGAAAATCCAATTCCCAGGGAAAGTAAAAGATATCATAATGAGAAAAAGATAAATGATAAATGAACTAGTTCATCTCAGTGAAGCTGAAACACCTGTGCAGATTAAGTGCAGCCTCTCCTGCCCTCAAGAATAACGGGCACAGACTGCGTGTATCCATAATGGTTCAAAGCAGTCTCTTCCGGAAAGAACTGTAAATCTCAGAGGAAGATTAAGTCATGCTCACTCTAGCTTTGGTTCTTGTATTCTGATTCTTTGAAAACAGTCTTCCTTACATTATTTAAGTGAGAAATCACAGCTGATGGGAACAATCAGATAACTAAAACTCGATGACAAGTGGTTTATTGGACACTTGGATATTTTCATTGTGTTTACTTCTAAAATACATTATCCAAATTTAACACCTTTTCAGCCAATGGCTGATGGTCTGACTTTGCAGATGGCACCTGGCTGAGGGCACTCCTTCCTCCACTCTCAGATGTGTCCGGGGTCCTCCTGGGAAGAAATCAAAATTGCATATTAAAATACATGGAGAAGACTGAATCCTAAAAGAGAATGAATAATACTCAGTGTCCTTCGATTCTGCAAAAGGCTTAATTTCATTTCTCCTTGCTCTTACGAAGCACTAACTTGTTTTTCGATGCGCCTCCCACCATGGGTTGCAGGGTCATATGAATCTCGGAAGCACATTTCCGAAGTCTTTCTATCTTCTGTTCGTAATCTTTGAGCGCTCTCCTCACTTCCTGTTGACTCTTCTGTGAAGTCAGCTCCTCACACAGCTCCCTCAGGACATCCATGTGGTGATCAAGTTGGTACAGGCTGCCTTCCTCAGAAAAACAGGCCTAATTGAGGAAAGAAAGCAGGAAATGTGTTTCAGATGAATTTACATGATTAGTCCATGAGGATTACACTCTAACAGATGTGTGTGACTTTAACAACACGGTCTAAGCCCGCCCAAGGTGTGCCTGGTGTGGGAATGGGTACTGAAAACAAAGACCACGCAGCTAGCCTTAGGGCTCTCTAGAGCCCAGTGATGTAGTGAAGGAAACCAGAACTGTCACCCCAAAAGATGCCTCTTTGATAGGAAAATTAAGAAGGTAATTAGGAAGTAGTAAACAGAAAAGGCAGAAAACAAAGCTCCATTTACTGGAGACAGAGTCTTATCAGTCCAGAGATGGGACCAAAGGAATCTGCAAATAAATTCAGTTATTCATGTTCTTTTTCAGATTCTTTTCCACTATAGGTTATTGCAAGATATTGAATATAGTTCCCTGTACTATACAGTAGGATATTGTTGTTAATCATTTTATATACAGTAGCATGCATTTGCTAATCCCAAACTCCTACTTTATCCCTCCTCCGCCCTTCCCCCTTTGGTAACCATAAATTCGTTTTCTATGTCCGTTTGTAAATAAGTTCATTTGTACCATTTTTTTTAGATTCCACACATAAGTGATATCATATGATATTTGTCTTTCTTTATCTGACTTCACCTAGTATGATAATCTCTAGGTCCATCTATGTTGCTGCAAATGGCTTTATTTCACTTTTTTTTTTTTGAGGGTCATTTCTGTTTGTTTTGTTTTTAATTTTTTATTGAAGTGTAGTTGATTTACAATATTAGTTTCAGCTGTACAGCAAAGTGATTCAGTTATACATATACATGTATATATATTCCCTTTTCAGATTCTTTTCCATAATATGTTACTACAAGAAATTGAATATAGTTCTCTGTGCTATATAGTAGGTCCTGGTTGTTTATCTATTTTATATATAGTAATGTGTGTTTGTTAATCCCCAATTCCTGATTTATCCCTCCCTGCCTTTTCCCCTTTGGTAACCACAGTTTGTTTTCTATGTCTGTCAGTCTGTTTTTGGTTTGTAAATAGAATTTATATATATATTTTTAGATTCCAGATATAAGTGATATCATATGATATATATCTTTCTCTGTCTGACTTACTTCACTCAATATGATAATCTCTAGGTCCACCATGTTGCTGGAAATGGCATTGTTTCATTCTTTTTTATGGTGAGTAATATTCCATTTTACACACACACACACACACACACACACACACACATCATCTTTATCCATTCATCTGTTGACAGACATTTAGATTGCTTCCACGTCTTGGCTATTGTAAATAGTGCTCCTATGAACACTGGGGTGCAGGTATCTTTTCGAATTGGAGTTTTCTCCAGATATATGCCCAGGATTAGGATTGCTAGATCATTTGGTAACTGTATATTTAGTTTTTTAAGGAATCTCTATACTGTTTTCCATAGTGGCTGCACCAATTTATATTCCCACTAACAGTGTAGGAGGGCTTCCTTTTCTCCACACCCTCTCCAATATTAATTATTTGTAAGCTTTTTGATGATAGCCATTCTGATGGTGTGAGGTGATATCTTATTGTTGTTTTGATTCGCATTTCTCTAACAATCAGCTATACTGAGCATCTTTTCATGTGGCTATTGGCCATCTGAATGTCTTCTTCGGAGAAATGTCTATTTAGGTCTTCTGCCCAGTTTTTGATTGGGTTGTTTGTTTTTTTGATATTAAGCTGTATGAGCTGTTCGTATATTTTGGAAATTAATCCCTTGTCAGGTGCATCATTTGCAAATATTTTCTCCCATTTCTGTTATCTTTTTTGTTTTATTTATGTTTTCCTTTGCTGTGCAAAAGCTTTTAAGTTTAATTAGGTCCCATTTGCTTATTTTTGCTTTTATTTCCATTACTTCAGGAGATAGATCCAAAAAAATATTGCTGCAATTTGTATCAAAGACTATTTTGCCTATGTTTTCTTCTAAGATTTTTAGAGTATTTGATCTTACATTTAGGTCTTTAATCCATTTGGAGTTTATTTTTGTATATTGTGTTAGAGAATATTCTAATTTCATTAAGAAGAAGAAAAGTCTGAGAGGTGATACTATTGGTTAGTTTTGGACGTGTTGAATTTGAGGTCTTTGCAGAACACTGGTGGTATCAATTACTTGGTTAGGAACAGAACTTGGAGCTCAGGAGGAAAGACTCAGACTGAGGCGTTGTCATTATAGAGAGGGCAGTTTAAACCCCAAAGTGCTTAAAATCACTTCAAGCAAGTGTGAAATTAGCCAAAAATGGAGATCCGAAAACTAAAACATTAGGATAACACAATGAAAAAGGAAAATCTGTGAAAGACACTAAAATAAGCCCTCCCCCCAAAACAGTAAAATTTTAAAAAGCAAGAGAGATTGATACTGTGACAGCCACAGCAGTATAAAGTTTAAAAGAGATCAAAAGAGGGGTCAATACTATCAAATACACAGAAGCAATCAAACACGACGAGGACCAAAAAGAGATCATTACATTTGCCCCGCCTGGTTTATATCCTGATTTGCTGTCTTTCACAAAACTGCACTTCTGAGGACACACTGTCTTCACAAAAGCAAACATGGGAACTTCAGCAGCGGGTGACACGTTTGTAACCAGAGCACAGAGGCCATTGAGACATACAAAGCGAAGTCATGAAATATTTTGCTCAATGCTGAATTTTATTCACTTCTAAAAAGTGAAAAGCGCGGCCTCTAGTTAGAGCTTGAACTGCCTGAGAGGTAATCCCCCTGGACAAGGTCTAAAGTAATTTTCAGAGCAGATTTAATCCCAGCCAAGGACATCCTAAACCACTTAAGATCAACCCCAAAATGATGACAAGATCTGAACGGAAGCAGGTTGTTTACCTCATGTTCCTTGATGAGACCCTTAGTCCTTCCTCTGCGAATTAGTTTCTTTTCTTTATTTATTTGTTTTTCAAGTTTTGCGATAGTGTCACTAAGTTTTCCTTTTTCAATGTCTACTTTTAGTTGTTGAATATACAAAGACATTTCATGATGAAGAGACTGCAAAAAAAGGCAAAGGCACATATTAACCACAGGTACAGCACATATTGAAAAGATTTCCATTAGAAACACAGAAATAATTGTGGTAACAAAGGGTAGAAATAGAGCCTACATGAAATTCTGATTCATCCTTGTGTCTTTGGGGAGGATGTTTTAAAATATACCAGACCCATAAACATATTTTTTTTCTTTCTAATAACTAAAAATGTGTTTTAGCTGTGAAAGACACTGTTAGAATTAAAAGACAAGCTGCAGACTGGGAGAAAACATATACAAAACACTTATCTGAGCCTATGGAGAAGTAACAAGTAACTGTAATGTGCATCCTGGATGGGAGTCCAGAACAGATGAAAAAGGACACTAGGGAAAAAACTATGGAAATATGAATAAAGTATAAACTTTAGTTAATAACGTATCAATATTATTCCTTTAATTGTGACAAAGGTACTATGTTAATGTAAGAGGTTAGTAACAGGAAAAACTGGGCAGGGCCATTTGGAACTCTCTGTACAAACTTTGTAATAATTTTGTAAACCTAAAATTGTTGTAAAATTAGGTCTATTTTAAAGTGTATTTTAAGAAGGCCTTGAACAGTACATATTCGATTATATTACCATATTCTTTCTCTTTCTCTCCATATAGTCACACACACACATACACAGAGACACACACACATGTATTTAATACCAAATATCATTTCCTGAACACGACCTCTGTGGTAGGTGCTTTATATAAATCCTTGCAACCATCCTGTCAAGTAGGTGGAGTTACCCCATCTTATGTGACGTGCTCAGGAGCTAAGCAACTTGCCCAAGGTCACAGCTGCTGGGTCTAGGTCTGTCTGCCACCAAAGCTGATACTATTTTCTGTGAAACTCTGTATACATGTCAGTATGTTGTCTCAGTTAAGATCCAAACAGGAAGCCAGAAAACACTAAATATTTAACTCAGAGGGAATTAAACGCAAAGAACTGATTATACAAGAGATGAAAGCCACAGTGGGGGCAGTAAGGCAACCCAGAGACCAGCATCGGCAGAAAGCTACCTCCACCCTGGGCTGCAGGCTGCAGTGGGGCCCAGGCAGAAGGGTCACTCAACAGAAGCTGGACCTAAGGAAACTACAGGCTGCCAGGGACAGTGTGCAAGAGAGAGAGAGGGAAAGAAAGCCTCTGGACTCTCCTTTCACCTTCCCATCGCCCTCTAATCTCCAGACACTGTTGTCATTGGCTGAATGCAGACAGAAGCCAGCTGACGTGGGGCCTAGAGTCAGAGCCTGCAGGGATCAGCCCTCTCCGATACGGGATAGACAGGAGACCACCAAGGATGACTCTGATGACAAACTGGTCCGGGGTCAGATCTATAAGCATCAGCCCCAGACACACATGCTCTTACCTCCCACCTGGCACAGACATCTCTACTCTTTTCTTCCAAAGACATCCTTACATCTTCAGTTACATTATTTTTCAGTTCTTCAACAGCTTTCAAATACTTGGCCAGACTTTTAGTATTAAAAATTATTAGTGCTTCCTAAAAAGAAAAACAAAGACACACAAACAAGAGCATGAAAATCTCCTTCTCCTGCCATGTCCTCAAAACTAATTTAACAGACAGAACTTTAGAGTCTGAAACAGCTAGAACCAGGCAAGGACTCCAAGAAGACTGAAGATTTAGGGGAGGCTTCTCTTTGTAAACTGAAGTTGATATCCCTTTTGTATCTCTCAAATTCTTTTGAAAAGAACTGCCAAATATCTATTATTCAGATGTAGTTACACATCTGAGGTCCAGATAAAGACTTCCTTATAATACTCAAAGTGATTTTTATTACCCCTTTGATTTGGGTTGGTTTTTTTTTTTTGGCAGGGGGAGGTAATTAAGTTTACTTATTTATTTTTGGAGGAGATGCAGGGATTGAACCCAGAACCTCGTGCATGCTAAGCATGTGCTCCACTGCTTGAGCTACACCCTCCTCCCCACCCCTTCGATAATTAAAAGGCTTATTATTTTGAGCCACTGGCAAAGTTTCCTACAAAGTTCTGCAGTATTGAGCAGATGACACATTTCATAAGTAATAACAGTATGAAGAGTATACCAACTTGAATTAGAGATCACTGTTGCATATGACACAATTCATGGTAGAGTTAATATGTCAAATATTTAATTTCATGCATAAGCATTTTATGCCGTAAGGAGGCAACAACCCCTTATCACGGACTTCAAAGTTTCGTCCAAAGCCAACCACGATGGCAGTTCCATCCCAGGGAAGGAGATGGCGTCTGCCTTTCAGGCATGTGTCTGCCCCTGACCTCATACTTACCTACTTTAGACAATATTACTGGCAATGCACTGTATAAGAACAGAAACCTGGCTTAGGTACCCATCGACTGACAGAACGAAAAATAGTTTGGGGCCTATGAATGGGGCAGAAAATACACAGGAGATGAGAAGATGAAAGTAATTCTCGGGGAGAAGACAACTAATCAGGCGAGGATTTGTTCATACACTTATTACGTCTTGATTATGGGTCTCCTACAGAAGAGGTACAATCTGACCTCCAAGGCCGCTGTGAGGAAAGCTAGATTTACGGCCAGGGAAGACAGGCCAGCCCATGTGCGGCAGAGGTCTCTACCACCCGCGTGTCCCATGCATCCCAGGGTCTCCGGGCAGTACTGGCAGGGCAGGGATTCTGCTTCTGCAGTGAGAAAGGATCTACTCCACTAAACACCAGAGACAAAAAGGGGGAGTCCCTGGCTTCAATTCCAAAAGGAAGACATTCAGGGAGAGGAAAATGGTGAGAACCGACACTGTCGTACCTCTCTCGTAGAAAAGGGGCCTGGAGCCTCTGCTTTGTCTTTTCCTTCCCTTTTCTCCTGAGCTGACCATATCTGTCCTATTGAAATCCAGCCTCGTGATTATTTAAAGGAATCACTGACTCTTAAGTTCAGTTTGGCACTCTCAGCAACCAAGGGGGAAAAAAGACAGTGGGGTTGGTCGAAGCTAGTGGCTGGCAAAGTGCAAACAGAGTAAAATGTTTGTGGGAAAAGCAGCGTTGCAATGGCTGATACCAGGGTCGGGTACGGCGACCAATCTAGAAAGTCAAAGTAGGGTTTAGCCCAGACAAGAGCAGGAAGCCACACAGAGAATGAAGAGAAGCTCCCAGGGGAGCTCCTTTTCCTAAAAGGACTGGGCACAGTAGTGCTGGGAATATTGATTTGCTTCACCTTTATCTCCCCCCAACATGCTTAGCTCATTTTAAATGTTCAGTCCATACGTCAGATGCTGAATAAATAAATGAAATAAAGAACATGTATTACTCTATCCCCAGGTCCAAGGGTGAAAACCTTGTTTTACTCTTATGTCACATCCAAGTTACCTGCCACTGTGTTAATTAATAATGAGTCTTGATTTGGACACATCTTTTTTCTTCTTTAAGTATATTTGATTAACAATGTTATATTAATTTCGGGTGTACAATGTAGTGATTCAGTATTTTTATGGATTAGATTCCTTTTAAAGTTATTATAAAATAATGGCTATATATTTCTGTGCTGTACAATATATCCTTGGAACTCATTTATTTCATACATAGTAGTTTGCACCTCTTGAGTTGGATCCATCTTAAGCTGCCTATCAAACAAAGAAAAGTCAACCTAAAACTGTCTCCATACAAAACACTGGATCTTTAATTGCTGATAAGCATATGTCCATAAATAACTTTTACTGAAGCATTTTAATAATAAAAGTGCTATATTACACTTGGAGAATTTTAACCACTCAAAGTTTCTTCATATTACTTATTTTTATTTATTGGCAGCTGGATAGGACCAGAATGGTTATGCCCATTTTATTGATTAAAAAAGCCAGAGAATTTAAATACTTGCTCCATGTCATAATCAGCTGTGCTTTTTACATGACACCACTGACTTCGTTCAGGGGCTACAATACAATTTAAACTAAAAGAATTCTTAATTTGAATGTTTATTTTTAAGACTGAGGAACAATGTATAAAACAAGGAAGTTTCTGAAACTTACAATAACTTTATTATAATTACAGTCATGGAAACACTCTGATTTGAAATGCTGTAGGTAGCTAATGATAAATACCCTACATTTGATGGTTGAAAGAGGCCCACCTTGTACTGTGAAATGAGTCCACTATGGCTCTCTCTTTGGCCAAGTAACTGCTCAGCCCTTGAAATGTAGGATTCAACTTCCTTCTGTGATTCTTCCACCTTCAACCTGACATCCAGGTCTGGGGAAACATCAGTTGAGTTCTTCAACGTTGCCACTAATTTTATCATATTGATCTGTGATGACAAAAAATTCTCAACTTAACATGGCCCGACTGCTTACACAATTCATAAGTTAAATATTTTCTTTGAGTAGCAACTCAGATTTTCCCATCAGGCTTAAGAATATCCTGTTTTCTAACATGGTCTAAATTATAAAGAGATAAAATATAAAGCAAAATTCATACTTTACAAAACATTTCCAAACTACAGGGCAATTCTCCCCTCTTTCCTGTCCTCCCACTGATCACTTGGATTTAAAGACTAAATTCACTAAACAGGGAATGTTGAAGAGAGACCTGGACTTTCTCTTTAGCTTCTTGAATCTTTGCCTGAAGCCCAGCTGTGAGAACATGTTGGAGAGACTCCTGGCTTGAAACATTCTGTACATCCATTTGTAAAGTGTCTTCAGTTCTAGACAGAAGCTCCTCGTACATAGAGCCTTTGGCAATAAGATGCTAGTAAAACAAATTAAAGCGAGATCACAATAAATATTCTGATTATATGTTAAACATTAACCTTAACAATCTCATCAGGAGATCATAAAAAGCTAACTATTAATCCAAAATAAGGCATATTTATATTCTAAAAGATGTTATTTTAAAAAATCATTTTGAAATTTTATATTAATACAGTCAGATTCTGAGCAACACAGTCTTTTATAGATTTATTCTTTATATACCAAGCACTTCAACAAAATAAAGACTAAAAGTAATGCAATGCCAATAGAGACTATAAGTTGAGAAAGTAGTAATTAACCTCAAAATGAAATTGTTCTAAGGCAAATCAGTTGGAAGAGAATTCAATAAAAATTATTGAAGAAAATGGCTATTGGAGAGTAATCCTTTTAGAACCATGCTTTATACAACATAACAAAACTAAATGTCAGATGAATTAGAAAATTATATATAATATATGAAACTATAAAAAGAAATTATCCATGAAAATTGACCTGCTTTCTGGGTGTGGAGGGCCTTTTTCTTAGGGATAGAAGTAGGGATAGAAATGACTACATAAACAAAAAATTTTCTATGTGAATAAAATAAACAACTTAAAAGTCATCAAGTTGGTAAAAATATTTGCCACACAAGTGAAAATGGGTCATGATCCAAAGAGCTTACAAATTCAGTAAGAAAAATACCAAAATCCCAAAGAAAATTCAGAAAATACAAAAACAACTAATTTACAGAAACAAGTGGCTAATGAACATATGAAATTTCAAGCTTACATGTAATCAAATAAGTACAAACTAAAATAATGAGATGCCACTTTTCAGTTATCAAATTAGCAAAAAAAAATTTTTAATTACAACTCAGAGGTGGCATAGGTATGATAAAACAGAAATTATATTACATGATATCAGCTGTGTGAATGTTGATCTTATTTATCTTAGAGCGGTGGAACTATAATGATTTTTTATTTTCCTCTATAGACTTTCATGCATTATTTAAATGTTCTAAAATTAGCAGATTCATTTGTAATTTCAATTTTCTATTTTTAATTATGAATGTAACAAAAGCTCCTGTAAAAAACCCAAACAAGAATAGAGAATTACAGCACATAAAAGTTCCTCTTCTTTCCCATCCCTCCCTCAATTATAATTTAATCAATCGTTCACACACTCATTTAATTTTATATCTACTATGTACCAGGAAATACATTAAGAGCCATGCAAGATGAAGACAGAGTTAGCTATTTGTATATCCTTACAGATATTTTTCTATGGATATAAAAGCATAAAGTATAAAAAAGCGACTTTTTAAAAACGCTAAAAGGATCACATCAACCCTACTGTTCAGCAACTAGCATTTCTTACATTATAATGTATCTTGATCCAATAAAGATCTACTTAATTTCTTCTTAACAGAAGTATATTCCAGCGTGTTTGTGTTTTCACCATTTATAAGAGGGATCATTGTTATAGCTTTGAAAATTTTTTTAAATATTGAATTTCTCATTTCTCACTCATTTCTTTTGCTAAAATAAATTCCAGATACAGCAAAGAAATAAATATAAAAATAAAATTAGGAAAACACTGGCAGATGGCACAGGTAAGTTTGTATAATATGTTCAAAGCAATAAAAAATATAACTTTATAAATAATGAAAACACAAAATTCTACATATATATCTTTCAGAAAGGTAGGTTTAAAAGAATTACATAAATGTTCCTTTATTTCAGTAACTTTCCATCTTGTAATTTATGACATGCTCTGTAAGTTTTATAGCTGAGCTGGAACTTAGTAAAACCCTCAATTGTAACTTCTTTCCCAGGAGAACTGAGTGATATTAAAACACGCTCTTGCCTCACTGCTTTTCAATGAGTTGACTGCCTGCAAATAAAGATCGAACAGAGTTTTAACATCTATCATCCTCCCTGCATCACATAAGGAAGAGAAAGTGGCTTAATTAGGGGGTTAGCTTTCAAAGCATAGATTGCATAATCTCCTATATATTATTAACAACCTCTTATATTCATGCTGCCTTGGGCTACAGGAGACTGAACTCACTCATGTCCTCACTGCCCTCTGATACAAGAGAATGTTTCAACCTCCATTCTGTAGTTGGGAAAAATAGTTCAAGAATTTAGATTCCTAAGGCACTGGTCTTCAAATCTATCCTCTATCTTAAAGCAAAGTCACAGCAAATGATCCAGGGATGAGATTCCATGCCATTTAAAAAAAAAAAAAAGGCAACAAAACTTTAAACAGTAGTCTTATTACTATTTGCTTTATAACTTTTTATTTATCTTAATATCTTAATACATAAGTCTACAACTATGAAAGCTGACTTTTTAATGCTTTACACTCATACCCGCAAAGGATCTTCCATTGAGGTGTCTACATCATCTTGATGTCGCAGAAGATCCAAAACAGATGTGGTTTCTGCCTCCCAGGTTTCCACTTGTCCAACGAGTTTTTCAACCTCTTCAGCCACTTTTAGTTGCCTTATAAATTCTTCATTTTCTTTTTCATCTTCTTCCCCAGCCTATAACATTTGAGATTATCACTAAGAAAATGGTAGCATTTACATTATAAAATAATCTTCATTTTTTAAAAGTTATATCTCTATAGCAAATTGATTAAACAATGAAAATCTCAAAATAATGGCTGTTTTTTAAACTCAGTGTTTTAACACTATCTTTATAAGGGTTAGTTAAAAATGCACAAGAAATCTTTATGTCAAAAAAATAATAATAAAAAATAAAAAGGCTATATAGCTTTTTTTCCTGAGGAATGCTAATTCAACATGAACATTTTAATGACTTATAAGAGTTAGTTTTTGGACAATGATAATAATACTTTATGACAGCATATATGAACTTAAAAATTAAAAAGTTTATTCACAAATATTTCCTTAAGGGTAATGTCATTCTTATCAGTTAATTACTATTATCTCCACTTAACAGATAAGATTATAGCTTAGAAAATTAGGGTACTGACTCTATAAACACATTTCCAAAACTCGTATACAATTTAATTAAATACAGCTATTAGCAATAGCAGATGTGAAACATCAGAACCAAATTTCAACAAAATTAATCATTTTCCCATTAATAATCTCTCAATATCCTGTAAGTGGATCTCTCCAGCTTTACATGATAGACATATTCTTACAGTTTTTAAAATCAGATCATACTTTAAATGTATGAGATGAATATAATATCCTGTATTCTTCTATTCTAAAAGCATATTGCACAAATTTAGATCTTTCAAGATTTTCTCTGATTAGGGTCTTCTCACGGTGGAAAAACATGGACACTCCATCAATGGCAACCAGCCAAAGTCAGCTAAAATTTATTTTCTTTAAAACTGTATAAGTTATTATTCTGAAGGAGGCACATTTCCAAAATCATAGGTGTTATACCTTACAGGTGTATGATTTATTGTTGTTGTTCCTTTTTCATATCCTTATCTATAACCTAAAGTCATCTTCTGAATTACCCAACAAAACAGGAAATAAAGATTATATTTCCCCCATTTTACAGAAAGGAAGCAAGACACTGGCCAGGGGCTAGCCTAAAGCTGGACAACTGCTGAACACCAGTCAGAAACAATCTCAAGAAAATATCAGCTCCCTTTCCACAGCTCAGAAGTTGTGACTGCAACTCCTCAGTGAGTGAGAGTCAGGACTTGAACACTGAAGACCACTGTGTGATGGGAACCACTGAGGTATTTCATTGGAAAATGAACATACTTTAGATGTTATCTAAGAATCACATTTACCACTATTTCAACAATATGTTTTTTTTTCAAAAGAAAAATAGCAAAGTTAAATTCTTTCTTTTTTTTTTGAGGAAGGTAATTAGATTTATTTATTCATTTATTTTTTAATAGTAGTACAAAGGATTGAACCTAGGACCTCATGTATGCTAAGCATGTGCTCCACCATTGAGCTATACCCTCCCCCCGAAGTTAAATTATTTCTATATAAAAATGAAATATATGAAGTATGACCACTCACCATAATATTCTGATTGTGATTTTCAGGGAGTCCTATTGACATATCTGTTGAAAAATCAACAGTTGTTTTTCCTTCTTTAGATAGTTGAGTATTCCCAGAATTGTCAAGAAAGGGCTCATCCTGTTTTTTTATAAGTGGCAAGTTCATTTCCTATAAAAAATTCATGTCATGAAATGTAATGCTTATATTTTTTATGGTAAGATAGAGTATTAACAACAATAAAGGGACATCATATATTCAATATATTTTTAGGATTTATCCATTAGTAATATCATTATAAAATTTCCCATATAACACCTCAGTCATAAACTGTCAAGATAAGAAATAGAACAATTTAATAATTTAAGCTTAAAAATTATTTTTTATTAAAGGTGTGCTTTTATGAAGCAGTATACGAAACGTAAGGATAAATGAAACTAAGCATATATTCTCAAGCAGCTTGAAATCTGGTAGGCAAAAATGCTTATGTTATTCTTTAATGGTAAATTAATTTCAACTAGAAATCTCTGTTATACCTCCACACAAAAACTTGTACAGTAATGGTCATACCAGCATTATTCATAATAGTCAAAAAAGTAGAGAGAAGCCAAATGTTCATCAACTGATCAATGAATAAATAAAATCCATACAATAAGACTATGATTTGCCAATAAAAAGGAATGAAGTATTGATACATGCTACAACATGGATGAACCTTGAAATCATTACATTAAGGGGAAAAAGCCAGAAACAAAAGACCACATTTATACGATTTCATTTATGTGAAATATCCAGAATAGGCAAATCTTGAGAGACATTAAGCAAACTAGTGATTGCCTAGGGCTGGGGACACTGGGAAAAGATTAGGAGTGACTACTGATGGGTACAAAGTTTCTTTATGAGGTGATGAAAATGTTCTAAACGCTAAATACACTGAAAACCACTGGGTTATTCACTTTAAATGAGTCAACTGGATATATGTGAATGATACCTCAATGAAGCTGTTGCCAAAAAATAAAAAAACCCAAAAAACTTACAACCTGAGTTTTTGTAATAAATTTCCTCCATCTTTTATTCAGCCTTCTCAGGTCTTTGGAAATAGCTGATCCAACTTCATCATTGCTGGCTTGAATTAAGAAATTTCCCACTTCATTTAAGGTAGTATGTTCTAGATTCCATTGGGAAAGTGTCTCAGAGGGAACCTATATAACATATAAGCAATGTCATATTTTAACGACATAATATTTATCTTTCTATTATCTATAACAGACCTTCACCAAGGTTGATTGTAAGCAAAAGTGAGCATGAGGATTTTGCAGAGATTCTGACCCTCCCCGTTGGTTTAGCGATTCTTTTCTAATCACTAATTGGCACTTGCAATCACTCTTGGTCCTGGACTTTTAGGAAGCATCTGATCTTCTTTCTCTAAGTGGCTGATGAGCTTAGAGCAAAGGTTCTCAAACTTTCTTAGTTCACGGCCCCCTTAATGTCTCAGCAATTTTTTCATGGATTCCCCAGCCCAGAAGAATTACCTAACAGTTCTCATTTTTCAGTAGTAGAGTCCAAACAACTCGGTAGTAATTTGTGTGATGTCCAACAGACAGATGTTGCTATGTCTCCCTCAAATTATCTCGAGAGTTCTCTTTGGCAGATCAGGGCACCTCAGCAGAGTTTGGAAATTGCAAGGCTTAAAGTGTTATTTTCTCAAAGAAAGGTGAATTTTAATAAAAGACTTTTCATGACAGAAGAACTGTTGAAAAGCCAAAGATCTGAACTTCTGTTACCAATATGGGTGCCAGGGAGAAGTAATGACTCACTAACCCCTCAAATATTCTTTTTGCACTCATACAGGTACCAGAAATTTTACTTTCATATAAACAGCCTGTTTTTTGTTGAGTAATTTCAGTTTCTATTTGGAAAATGTTTAATCTGAGAGGCTGTCTACATTCATTTGCAAAAGAGAAAACAAATGAAAGAAAGAAAAACTACCTCAGACAACAATCATAAACACATTATTACAAAAACAGCAAATGAAGCAGCCATGAATTACATCAAAGTTTCTTCTACATTTCTCCACATAAGTCTAAGGTATTTTGTTTTTCCTCCTCTAGAAAGTCTGGAAGGTTTTAGAGCTGAAAGGTATTCACCCAAATGGGGAAAAAAACTTTCTAAAACATCAATTTATTTTCAGTGTGCACGTAAGCTAGTCAGTATTCCACATCTTTTATTTTCTTTCCAAAGAACTTAGCAATGTATCTTCCAAAAGCTATCCTGTGTATGTGAATTATACCTCAACAAAGCTGTGTGTGTGTGTATAAAACCTATCATGAGGGGAAAAATTCCTTTAAGTAATTGTGTGAGAATGTTAAACTCTTTCCAATACTTTGGAGAATTTTTCCAACAGTCATGCTTACCCTTTCCTGGCCTCTCATTTTTGGACTAAAAACGAGGGTCTCCAAACAAAACAAAACACAAAGTAAAATTAAGCAGATGCCATTAGACTGAAAATACCTCTTTAATCTGCTCCTTCTTTGTTTCCTCAAAACAAGCCTTTAGTAAGCGAAGGTTTTCCACATAAGTAGCCCAACATGCCAGAACTTTCTGTAGAGTGGACTTCACATTATATATATTTTTTCCACACATGGAAAAATGATGTTCCACCATTGTATACTGTTTAGTAATATTTGGATATTCTTCAGCTATAATGATAACAAGAAAGCAATTTTAGAAAAGTTTCTCATTAATAAAATAATACTGCTTAAGAAAAAATATTTGCATACTAATTGGCAGTGGTGAAATAAATACGTACTTTAACAATATTAAAATGGATGCAAGAATTTTCCAAAGAAAACACATATAGTAAACCAATTTCTAAACACTTAAGGTATAAAGAAAATTAAACAAATGAAATGCTGTTAAATGACAGTCATTCCATTAAAAAGTAATTATATAGCTTTACCCAAATCCTTATGAATTTCTTCACATTTTTGAAAAGAAGTTTCAAGTTGAGCTAGGAACTCTTTTTCTTCAATAAATTTCTAGTGAAAAAAAAAACAAAAAATAAAACATATTGATAGTTTTCACTTTTTAAAATGTGTCAAGAAATACAGATAGAAACATAAATATACTGATGAAGCACTTATGCAACAAAATTTCTTTACAGTTTTAATACTACGTGTTTTGGTAGGAAAAGAAAAGTAGTTCATGAAGAAAGCTAATTAAGGTCTAGGAGACAGAAGTGTGAGCATGAACAATATGTGCGTATGGGACCTGACAAAGTTTATCTTAATGTAGTGATGTGGTTCTTTTTTAAAAAGTTTTGGGAAGGATTAGATTTATTCATTCATTTATTTACTTAGGGAGGTAGCAGGGATTGAACCCAGGACCTTGTGCATGCTGGGTAAGAGCTCTACCACTGAGCTGTACCCTCCTCTGGTGATACAGTTCTAAAATGGTTTTCCTTTCATGAGAAAAGGCAAGTATTTATAGCAATTTCAAAATCTCTTACTTCACATATTTATCAATATTATATAATTTGTATCAGTTTCTCTTTATTTCATGTTTTTATTAATACTAATTTTTACTAGATATATTAGAGTATGTTATAAATAGATACCACCCATCACACAAAAACATTTGAGAAAGATCATTAACCAAATTATTATGTGTCTTATGCTAGCAAATTCTGCTATGGAAAAATAGAGAGTTAACTAAAAACTCATTTACTAGACACTTATCATGTGCTGATGGTATGGCATTTAAATGGAAAAATGAAAAATCAAAGTAGGAAAAAGAAATTAAAATATTTAAAGTCTAAGTTGGAATGATGCTTTCTGTTCAGGAATGCACAGTGTTTAAATCATAAATTGTAAATAAATCTCTCTTCATGTTTTTCAATTTTTGCACTGGAATTTACAATCTTGGGGTTTTCGTTTTGGACCTCATTCCAAAAAGAAAAAAACAGAAAGAAGGATAGTAAGGCCTAACTGTAGAAATGACAGTGCTAGGATGCTCTAGTTTTAATTTACCAAATAAACACACATATTTAAATCATTTGCAACATCTTCCCCTATAAATTGCAAAAGCTAAACCCCTCCCCCAGAAAAGCCTCAAGACAAGACACATTGTTTCTCCCACTCTTATAACTTGAAAGGCTAAGATAAAAATATTCTAAGAAAAATTTCATTTTTGAATAAAACCATGAATTTGAGTGGGGAAAAATGTCAAACAGGAGGTCCAGTAAGTGAAACTAAGAACTTTTAAAAGGAATAACGTTGAAACTTTCTCTATTATGTAACAGCCTGGTTAACTCAGTCTCCCCTGTTGTGCTGAATGTTTTCTCTTTCTTACTCTTCCTAACGTCTGTTCTTGGACTACCTGTAATTCTTTTCTCCAGACCATATTTAAGCTAATGAAAGCTACCAAGAAAACCCATCTCAAAACCCGAGAAGTAAAGGGAAATAGTGTCACAGAAAAATGCAAACCCAGCACCATGGAGAACAGTTGTCTAAGACATGAAATAAAGCAGCTTACATGCCAGTCTTCCAGCAATAATTCCACGGATTCTTTGCTCCCGTATTTGATGTTCCAAGCAACCAATTTTGATTTCGCTTCATCTAGCAAACCAAGAACTGAGCACTTATAGTAATGAAATTCTAGAAGTGGAATAAATTTTTTCCCCGAAATATTGTTGATTCTGGAAGACAGTGTAGGTTTTAGAATTTAACTTAGTATTATTGGCCAAATGTGAGAAATCTGTTTGGCATTTTTTAAAATACTGGGGCTTTAACTTTTTCTTTTATACATATCGAACTCAGATGTATCCTCAAATCTTTTGTTTTAAAGAAACAGAAACAAACATTGTGAAGAGATACAAAACAGATACTTCTAAAGACAAAAACACCTAACAAAACATTTTCTGAAGAAACTGTTCCCCCATTGAGAAATTCTCTAATAACATTAATCTCTAAAATATTTTACTAAATGTGAAAACTTCCGTGTAACTTAATGCAACTATAATTTCAATGTTTACATATTAATAGCTTTCATTATTAAGGCTAATACCCTCTTAATATCATTCTAATAAGCTGCTTATGAATAATGAGAAAAGAGAGGATGATGTAGACAACCATCAATTACATAACCTTTATATTTGTAGCTTTTTTGAGTTTATAAAGTGCTTTCATATACCTCCTCCCATTTTACCCAGGTTCCTTGGGGAACATGAACAGACTGTATTTACAAATGAGGAAGCATGCTCAGAAACGCACAGTAACTTGGACAAAACCAAGATACAGAGCTCAGTTTCTGACTCTCAGTCCAAGAACTTTTTCCAACACCACATCTTACCAGGCAGTAATAGTATGTTAGCATGATATAACGTTACTATCATGTAAAACATCAAGGAACTGTTAGCAAGATTTAAAGACCAATTGTCAGAAATTATCCAAAAATCTGTATTTTCTGGCCCCCGTTGCCCCATCTTATTGCTTAAACATGAAGGTGTCAGCAGTTGTGAAAGGTACTGGTACAAACCGTCTTTTCATTTCTTCCAGTTTGCTAGGTGGTACCAATGGCAAATGTTTTTCATCTCTATTTTCAAATGCCAGGAGAGCATTCAAATGACAGTCAAATTTATCCATCAGACTCTGGAAAGACATGAACCAGATTTATTGCCAAACATTGTAACAGAGGGTTTGTTAATCTCACTTGCTCCTTGTGTGCATTGCATCTTTTTTCAAAAAAAAAAAAATCAAAAAGCACTTTCTTTCTCTAACTAAAATTTTCTGAACAAATATTTTCATCATAAATGTTTTAAACATTTTACAGCGAAGCAGACTGCAGTTTCTTTGGTAAAAGCATTATCAAAATCTTTTGATTTTAGATGGATTTTCCATTTCTTTATGAGCTCCAATGCTATAAACCTCACATATCAAATTCTTTCATATCATTTTAGGGAGAATCCAATCTCCCACATTTTAAAAGTCTCCCCCCTTCTTTTTTGTCAGACTTTACAGCTGCCTTAACTTACTCTTTTCTTATTGTTTCCACCTTAAACTAGCACAACGCTCATAAAGAAAGTGAAGGTATCTTCTGGGTCCCAAAAATCCCCAGGGAAATCATCTAAACCATCCTCAAAATCCCATTCTATTTCCTTCCCTTTCTAGGACAAGGTCTTCCAAAAGAACAATGTCTAACACAGTATAGATTTTTCCGTATTACTTTTTCTTTTCCAACCTTGAATAAAGCCATTTTCTCTTGAATTAGAGCCATGGCTTCATGGTAATCCTGGGAGGCTGGCAAATCTTCATCTAGAAGCTCCTCTATCTCCTGGAGCCAAGCTTCGATTTCATTGAGGGGTGAGGGCAAGACATGATTCAAGTCTGTTTTCCACACATTAATCTGAAAAAAAATTTTTAATTTTCTTCAGTAGACATTTTTCTAGCTTATTTCTTCACATACAGTATGTCTAATTCTTTAAAGAATTCTTTAAAAAAATTCTTTGAACATGGTATATTTAATTCTATGATCCATTAGTCAAGGAAATCGTGATCAACAGGTTAACTTTTTAGTTCTAGGTATCATTTGGCCAGCTGCCAATTGAGAAGATAAACTTGTTTAAAAGCTGTAGAAGAGGGCATAAGAATAAATACAGATGTTTTCATAAATCCATAACTGGTTATGGGAGGGAAATCAGAAATATTTAAAACATCCCTCTAAGCAGGGGTAGACTATTGTATTAAATGACCATAACGTGTGATGTTGTATGCCCTTGCGTTTTCTGACATTACAACTACACTTCGCATGCAGATTTGTATTTTCCTCACTAGCCCTAATCATATATTCATATTCGATACCTCTACCATATCTCCTGAGTATCTGTCCTTCACCAAAGCCCTCCCCTAGTCCAGCCAACTCCCTCCTTCCTCAGCCTTTCCACCCTTCCCTACGGGCACACGTGAGTCACACAAATGCCAACTACTCACTTCCCCAAACACTGACTGCACTCCCAGGTCTCCCTTGCTGCTCCTGCTACCTGGATTTTCTCCCTGCTAAGCACTGTCAAAACTCACTCACGCATTCATTCATTCAGCAAATATGTATGAATTGTGCTAAGAGCTGGGTAGAAAGACAGAAGGCTTCTGGAGTAGAGAAGAGACTTGGGGGGGGGGGGGTCACACACCACCGAGGGCTGTGCCGCAGTTAGATGCACACAGGTGGCAACATGGAGGCACCTTAAGTATGTGGGCTCAAAACTGAAAGTAAGAAATGGAGTAACATATGACACCAATTTATACAACTTAAAAACACGTGGACACAGAAATACAATACTGCATTTTGCAAGAACGTAGAAAACAAAAAGATACCCATTAAGCACATCACAATGGTGGGCTTAGGAAAAGGAGGATGGATGGACGGTATTGGTATAAAAGAAACAAATACACAATTTAACAAGTGAATAAGAGTAGAGCCTTGCCCAGACCTATGTACCATGAAGGGAACAGTAAGTTTAACACAACCCTCTCCACCTGAGGGTCAACCAGACAAATAAAAGCCATAGCTCTTGCCTGAACACCTAGTGGGGGAAGCAGACAAGTACAAGGTCACAAGTAAAGCATGGTCAGCAACATAACAGAGCTGGGGCCAGGGAGGACTCAGAACAACACCAACTCCACACTGATACTGAAAGTATGAGTTTTAAGTCTGTATTTTCTCTTACCATTATGGTTCTACTAAATGAGTTGTCATGATTCTTAGAGTTAAATTTGCTTTTAAATAAAGAAGAAGCAAAATTAGGTTATTTTTTCAAGAATCGGGTTATCTGATTCATCATCAATTTTGAAAAACATTTATTGGGTGCCCACTTTATGCAAGGCAAATATCAAAAAAAATCATTTAATCAACCACCCAAGTACAAAGATGTTAAATGAAGACAAAGTTAGGCTCCTTCAGGGCAGTCAAATGGAACTGTTCATAAACTAGAAACATTAAATATTATAGTTTTTGCATTTCACTTTGCTTTTTTTTTTAGCTTTACTGAGGAATAATTGACAAATAAAGATGTAACATATTTAAAGTGCACATCATGGTCATTTGACATATATACATTTCGTAAAAGGAGTCTCATCATCTAGTTAAATAACATATCCATCATTTCACATATTTATCTGTTTTGGTTTTTTTTTTGAGAGCATTTAAGTTCTACTCTCTTAGCAAATTTCAATGATATAATACAGTGTGATTTATCAACTATAGTCACCATATTTCATTTTAGATCTTCAGATCTTATTCATGTTACAGCTGAAAATGTGTACCCTCTTACCAGCTTCTCTGTATTTTCTCCACCCCTCAGCCCTGGACAACCACTTTTCTACTCTCTGTTTCTGAGTTTGACCTTTTTTTTTTTTAAGATTCCACATATAAGTGATACCATGTAGTATTTTGTTTTGCTTTAATTGCCTTGCAGTTGTACTTTCTCAAAAGGCATATGGCAAAAGTCAGCTCTACAACCCTAAATCATTAACTATATGCCATTAGGCCTCCAGTTGGAAAATAATGGGGAAAAAAAGCTTTCATTATTACAAATTTTTAACATAAGCAAGCTAGCATGTACTTTTATTTTATATATATATGAATTATTTGTGCATTTGCCAAAAAATAAGCAACCCTGACCCAGAAAACTGGCAAATAACTGAGCTAAAGGAAAACAAAGAACAATACCTCTAACTCGGCTGTTACTCTTTCAGCTGAAAGAGAGCTGTACGTATTTTGAATGAAACCAGATGTGGGCTTTTGACTGAGGGCTGTACTCTGCGGAGCAGTAAGAAGAGGAAAGACAGAGGCAATGTTTACCTTTCATTCCTCTCCTTTCACTCTTAACAGAAAACTGGTTCCACATTTTCTTTCTCAGTGTTGGAAATTACTTTTGAATTTAGATGAAAATTTACATAAGATCTTGTCAGGTCAAAATAACATAATGTTGCTATTTCCTATAGCAGGCCTAAAATGAAACCATTTATTAAGATGCTTTGAGATATTTGTGTCCTTAAACAACTGAACGAGAAACTGTCTGGACAGTATTGACTGCTACACAACCTGACGACTTTAAAATTAGGAAGTCTCATTTTGCAACATCAAGAAAATGAGAGGGATGCTACCTAAGGAATGGATTTTCAAGCTACTATCAATTTGTAGCACTTAATCTTGCAAAATAGTTCTTTTAATGGTTTTTCTCATTACTTTGGGTGATTTTTCCAAATCATATGCAGCAAAATTAGGCTGGGCCTCTGTGGCCTGGAACAGCCTGAACTGTACAGACAATATCTTCTTCCTCTCCTCCCACTTTGTTGAGGATGCATTAACAGAGAGCTCCTGCCCTTCACGGGGGTCAGGGTCAAAGCTGTGATCAGAACAGGAGCTGAAAATGCACTGAGCACTGCCACTCGACGGGAAGATTTCTGGAGCTGCAATAGTGCTTCAAAATCAGGGACTCTGAAAGGGTGGCTCCTTTAAGTCACTGTGCTAGTGTTGAACACACTTCACAAATGGTGCGATAAATGTATTCTGACAACAGGCTGTGGCTCCTGATGGCCAAGAGACCTGAGCAGGAACCGACAAACTTTTCCAGGGCCAAAGAGTATTTTTGACTTGCAGACCACACAATCTTTGTTGCAACTCTGTAAATTCACTAAAAATCACTTAATTAGCCATTTAAAATGAGTGAATTCTATGTATGTACATTATACCTCAACAATGATGTTTCAAAAGAACGAAGGCAAAATTAAGGCATTAAGACCTTGGGGGAGGATACAGCTCAGTGGTAGAGTGCATGCCTAGCATGCATAAGGCCCTGGGTTCGATCTCCAGTACTTCCATTAATAAACAAACAAACAAACCAACCTAATTACCACCTGCCTCAAAGACATTAAGACCTCAAAGAAAACTAAAAGAATTTGCCATCCACAGACCTGCATTATAAGATAAGTTAAAGGAAGTTTTTCAAGCTGAAAGGAAATGAGTTCAGGTAGAAACTCAAATCTTTAGAAAGGAATGCAGAACAATGGAAATGATAAATATCTAGATAAATATGAAAGACTAATTTTCCCCTTAATTTCTTTAAAATATATGACTGTTTTGAGAAAAAATTGATAACATGGTCTTGGGGACTTTAAAACATAAGTTTGTGTCATGTATATATTTACATATAAAACAATGAAGCATAACGGATGAAAGATTTGATTGCAAGATTTGTACATGTTATAAGAAGCTGTATAATAACTTAGAAGTTGTAGAACTTTAAGTAGACTGCAAAATTTTAGAATGTAATTGTAATTCCACTAAAAATATAAAAGAGATAGAACAAAAAAGCCAATGGATAAATTAAAATGGAATTCTAAAAATATTTAACATAATCTAAAACAAGACAGGAAAAGAACAAATAGAAATACAAAAAACAAAGGGAATAAACCAAAAAAAAGAAAAGAGTAAGACAGTATACCCAAATTGAACCATATCAATAATCATACTACATGTTAATGTCTAAACAATCCAATGAGAAGGCAGAGATCGTCAGAGTGGGTAATAAAGCAAGATCCAACTATATGCTGTCTATAAGAAATGCACTTTAAATATAAAGACACAAACAGGCTGAAAAAAAAGGAAGGAAAAAGATGTGCCAAACAGTCAGCAAAAGAAGAATAAAATGATCATATTGATATCAGATTAAGCAGACATCAAAAAAAAACAGTCTTACTAGAGATAAACAGGAATATTTCATAGTGGTAAAAGTGTCAATTAGGGAAGGCATAACAATTATAAATACACACACCTAATAACAAAGTCTTAAAATGCATGATGAAATATTTGACAAAATTAAAAGACTCTACAGATTTTAATAGCCCTCTCTCAGAAACTGACAGAGAAGTTAGACCAAATGTCAGTCAAGACATAGATAATCTGAACACTATCAATCACTCTGTCTTAACTGATATTTATTGAATACTATGCCTAACAAGTACAGAATTCAAGTTCTTTTCAAGTGCAAATAACATGTACACTGATATATAGCATATCCTGGGCTGTAACACAAATCTCAGTATACATTTAAAATGACTGAAATTATACAGATACATTCAGGCACACATACCCACATTCATCATTGCATGTTCTCTCTGAGTTTGTCCCTAATCCCCTTCAAGCATCTATTGATAGTGACACATGACAAGGGTCCAAAGTAGAGAGGAGGCTTCAGGTCAATCAGAACATGGATAATCTACTGCACAAACCAAGAACTGATGGCAAATATAAAAACTGTAGTAAGCCTGTAATTTCTCTAAATAGAATGTTATAAATTCCTATTTAAATATCAACCACCACCCAAACAAGACCATCGAGAAATATAAAAGTGTTCTCCTAACTTCCTGATGAAGCATCTGCTCTTTTACAGAACTCCTCATGGAAGTCTAAAGTGCTCGTCCAACAAGCAAAGCTGCCTCGTGAAAATGTGCTAGTAGCATAACACTGTAACCTGGTAGTTGAGACCATCCCAGGCTTCTTTTAACTGTAACTGATCTTCATTCAGCTCATCTGGATTCCTTCTTATCAACAGGACATCCAAAAAGGGGGTTTTTTCTTCATTGAATGACTCCAAGAAGGAGAGCAGGCTCTACAAATAGAAGAGTATTTTAAAGACTAAAATGTTTAAACCAGTTTATAAAACGCAATTCGCTATCTGAAGGTCCATAGCTGTAGGTTATATTTAAATTTTCACTTAGAGAAAGGTAAAATTCAGGATCCTCTCACCGAACTAGTTTCTTTCTTCAGTGCAGCCTCGTGATCTGGGAGCCCTCAAAGTGACATAGGTCACAGCGTCTGTCTCGTGTCACTATTGTTGGATTTCTACTGGAATGGAGCAGCAAGGCCACCCAGCTCTAGAGGACAAGCCATGATGTCCCACGGAAAATATGAGTTTGTTTGTCCTCCCCAAACATGTGTTCACAACAAAATAAGAATGAGTGGCAGTGAGAATTATATGACAGCAGTCATCATGTCTAAGTGATCTTTGAAGTGTCCATGATTAACTGCACTTGAGCCAATTCGTCCCAAGTCATTTTATACAGATTTCAAAAAATGCTTTGTCTCTGTCCTCAAAAATTTAATTAACAAAGCTTTCCTTGGTTTGTGTTTGTGTGAGATATTGGTGTGAGTCATCAATTCCATAAATATTGTTTGAAAAATCACCCCTAATTATTGGCAGCATTTCTAATTACATTTTGTGAACAAACTAATTAATGTAAGAATTGAAATAACTTCATAAAGCCTTTAAGAAACCTGAATCTGTGTGGTACATTAATAAATCAAAGACATATGTGAGAGGAGGGCACTTTTGTGGACACTGAGCGTCCTGTCAATGAAAAATATCTCAGGCCACAGCTAAGAGGGAAGCCTCAGAAGCCTATGTAGATCAGATGGAAGGAAGATGAGAATGTCTAGTCCCTTCCTTCCCTAATGGCTCTAAACCAAAAGGAATGGTGTGGCCAGAAAGTCACACAATCCACTGAATGTTAGTGTTGGAAAGGCTGGATTCATCCAACTCCCTCCCTTAACAGATAGGGGAATGGAGGCCTAGAGGAGCTAAGTGCCCATGAGAGTATCTCCTTAACGAGGATGGAGAACGGGTGGGGAGCACAGAGTTGCATAGACTGAGTATTAAGAAACAGGACTGTGGAACTTTCACTTTGGCTTCTGTTGGCCTCTTTCAAGATGATGCAGGAGAAGCAACAAGATGTAAATAAAGGCCAGGGCTTTGAAGCTAGACTTCATTCACATCCCGCCTCTACCTTTCAGTAGCTATGTAACGTTGTACAAGTCACTTAGCCCCTCTAAGCCTTGCTGTCTCTATCTGTAAAACAGGAATAACAATACCACACTCGGCAAGATGTTGTAACATGTAAAACGCTTGTCAGCAAGGTGCCTGCTATGTAGCCTGTGTTCAACATAGTGACAGTAACAGAAGTCATCACTCCCCGAAGGACCCTTTGGTTGAAACCCTGTATTGTGATTCTGGGATGGCTCCATTCCTGAGTTCCTAGTCTTTTTGCCTTCAATATTCATTCTGAAGAGCATGTTCTGCTCTAGACCGGGGATTGGAAAGCAGAAAGACAGCAGACGTAGGCTTTGTGGGCCACGTGGTCTGTGCTGCGGCCTTGTGAAAAAGCAGCCACAAACAATACTTTAATGGGCAGGACACTACTCTAATAACAAGGTGTTTACAAAACATGTGGTGGGACCCAGAGACCAGTCTCCAGTCCCTACTCTTAACATCTTACTCCTCAAAGTTCTGTAAGGACCGACAGCACCATCCGGGAGCTCGTGGGAAATGCAGACTCTCAGGCCCTGTCCCAGAACTACTGAGTTAGGATCTGCAATTTAACAAGATTCCCGGGGTGATCCCAATGCACATTAAAATTCTAGAACCTCGATCCCTAGAACTCAGTGCTAAAACGTGGAGTTAATTTAGTGTTTAAATAATTAACTCTGAAAGACTTTTTTCTAAAAACATCCATTACTTTCCTGAGAGTAAACTACAAATAAATTGCTGTTTAAAGTCATACTTACTCCATACTTGTTAGCGTAGGTCTCACTTTCTGAATCCTTTAGCATTTTCTGTAGTTTTTTCTCTTGCAGAGTTAACCAGGCCATAGCATCTTTCATCTTTCCCTATAATTCACACACACACATTTAAAACTGTATCTTAAATAGACTTGGTGATTTTTTTTAACAATAAAATTAACAACTGCAAACATCAGTGAAACAGTGTAATCATTACACACCAATGACTCATTGTGCCAAAGAGGAATTTTGCTTATTCATTTAACACCTTAAATTGTAAAATGAATCGAGAGCAGCATCTGAACATAACGTGCTAAAGAAACAGGGTAAAGAAGCCTTTATGTATTTTTTTGATTTCTTTACTTCCAGCATTCTTCAATTTTAAAGAACATTATCTGAAATTACTTATTTATAATAGGCATTTCAGAATACTGCTTTCCAATAAATCTAAACATGGGTTAAGCAAAGAAACATTTACATCTACAAAATACACTAACATCAACAATATCTTGAACAATTTAAAGATCTCAAAAATAACACTACTAAAGGCTTTGGTTAAGCTATCATATGGAAGTGAGCAACAATTTTTTCTTCTTTAGATTCTTGTTTAGATGGTTAGCTTGCAAACATCTGGGGGCAAATTTTACTGCTGGAGGATAAAGCAAAATAAATTACACCTTATGTCCATTCTTCTTTGACTTTCTTTTACTTCTTTCTATTAAGCAAGAGTGCTGTCTATATATTTTTGCATCTGATTCCATGAATAATTGAATTTTTAATAAGAAAATTAATTAGAAAAGAGTAGCTCCTCAGCAGGTCAGAAATGAATGACCTGCATTGTGAGCCTGAGTTTCAGCTTGAGTCTCTCTGCCAGAGTCAGCAACAATCTGGCTTGGTGCCTCAAACATAACAGTTGGAAAAACATAGGCCTAAATTTGTCAAAGAAAATGCGATAACATGACTGCATGTTTACATGTCTGAGGAAGCAGTTTAAGTAAATTTTAAAATAATATTCAAAAACATTTCACTAAATTCATAGCACTCATTTATCTTTAGAGAAGCAGAATAAATGTTTATTTTCAGCTCAGTGATTTTTATGAAATTTCCACCCACCATATCTTGTGTCACTGACTGAAAGTCAAAGGGAGAAAATGAAGAATCAAATGGCAATCTGATGGTAATTCAAGAGCATCTCAACAAACAAGGGTTAAGAGCAGAACACAGAGCTTCTGTCTATATGAATTATATGATTCTACTTACATGAAGCTAAAGAATAGTTAAGATGGAAACACGCTACAATTAGATTGCGATGAACTGTTGCCCAACTCTGCAACTACACTAAAACCACTGACTTGTAAATTTTAAACGGATGTGAATTGGACCTCAATAAGGCTGCTAAAAATTACAATAGAAAAAAATCTGTAATCTCTAGAATTTTTAAAAAGCCTGCTCAACTTCATTTGTCTTATAATAGTGCCTATCTAAAAGTTGTTTTACAGACTCACAGACATAGAAAACAAACTTGTGGTTACTGGGGGGACAAATTGAGAGTTTGGGATTTGCAGATACTAATTGCTATATATAAAACAGATAAACAGCAAGGTCCTACTGTATAGCACAGGGAACTAAATTCAACACCTTGTAATAGCCTATAATAAAAAATATGAAAAGGTATATATATATATATATATATATATATATATAACTGAATCACTATGCTGTACACCAGAAGTTAACACAACATTGTAAACTAATTATACTTCAATTAAAAAAAAACTAAGAATTATAAAAATTTACTGAAATAAATTTTTCAAAAAGATGTTTTAGATAATTTAGCCAAGTTTAACAAATTACCAGTTTTAACTTAAAAAAAAAAAGAACAAGCAAATAGTAAAATATATTGGCTGTGTAGGGTGGAGGAGCACAGACAGGAAAGAGGCACGAGGTAACAATCTAGGTAACAGAAATGCTTCACATCATGATTAAATTATGCTTTAATGCATTTATCAAAACTCACTGAACCGCACATTTACGTTCTGTATGCAAATTATCCCTCAATATTAAAAATTAAACCATTAGTGGGGTACAACAAAAATGAGTGTGATTTGGACTTACAAAGACATGCTTGGGGTGGGGAGGGTATAGCTCAACGGTAGAGTGTGTGCTTAGCATACATGAGGTCCTGAGTTTAATCCCCAATACCTCCATTAAAAAAAATAAACCTAATTAACTCCTGCCAAAATAAAATTTTCAAAAAATTAAAAAAAATAATACCTGGGCTTTATTTCCAGTCCCAGGTGCATTCTTTGAATATTGCAGAAATTGGGCCACGTAGGTCATGATGGACTTTTCATCAGGATTAACAACATCCACATCTGCAAGACACATCACATTATCAATTAGCTGGAGATGTGATTTACTGTAATCAATACTCAGAACAGGCTGTGCCTTGAAATAAACCAAAGGAGTCACCAGCTATGCAATGTCTGCTTGCTCGCCCTTGTTCCAAGACTATGAAGTGGTTAAGAGTTTAGATCTAGAGTCAGACGGAGCTGAGTTGAATCCCGGCAGGAGTACAAACACGGCCTCAGTTTCCTAAAAATAAAATGTCACTGTGAATGTTGCATGTATGAGGGCCTACGCAGTCAGAAATGGTGGAAAGGAGAAAGGGAAGCCTTCCTCCTTCTGGTGACACACTGGAGAAACTCCTCCAACAGCACAGGAACATGGTGCAGCTAGAATCCACTCCTGACATGCTGGTCTCAGCATATAATAAATCACAAAGAAGAGACTGCAATATGTTACAGACCAAACGAACACATGATTTTAGGATAGCTTTTGCTATGTTGCCAAAACAAACAATGAAGATATTAACAAGGAAATCTGTGCTTATTTATTAGTTCAGCTACACGCAATTCAACAAATAACGATGGAGAACCAACAAATGCAGGTCACAAGCAGGATATGTAAGGCTCGGTCCTTGCCCTTATGGGCACTTACGTCTCATCTCTTCATTCAACAAGTAGATACTAGAACTTTGTGTAGATACTAGATGCCTTAAGACATTATCTGTCCCTAACCTTGCAGTTAGAAGAAAAACAAACAAATACAACACACTATGCATGCTTTAGCAAACGTGTTTACTGGGCCCAATGGGTTCTCTAAGTCCACTGAGGGAGGAAGTGAATATAATTTATAACCAAAGAACAAAATTCAACACAGTATGCACATAAGAAGTATCAATAAAAAGCCAGGACTGAGGTTTCCATAAGAGTTTAAGTTATTCCATCTTTTACTGAAAAAAAAAGTATAACTATAAAGAGATACATAGAATAACGATACTGACTTGACTGGATACCTCTTTTTAAAATTTTCTCGCTGTATATAAAGCTGTGCATAATGGTTAAATGTGTTAACAAAATTATGTCAAAAGAGAACCCCTTTATTCAAATATGACTGTGGTAATGGTTTACATAAATAATCATGATGTATTTCACATTTTTGAGCTATTATTTAAGTTTCATAAAATGAATTATGTGCAATCATTTATACAGTGGAGATTTGCTTTCATTAAGTCGTCTGTTCCACTGGTTGCCTTGTTATTTTCACATGCTAAAATAGAGAAAATATTTTACACTAATAATCAAGACTTGCTGAATCACAGTGAGAGAAGTATAAAAGAAAACAGAAACAGGGAATATAGCAAAGCATGGGGGGAAATGAAGAAATTTTTAAAAGACAATACAAGGAAAGGAAAGAAAAAAGACAAAAAGGGAGAAAAAGAAGAAAGAAAAAAGGAAAGAAGAAAAAACAAGGGATGGGGGAAAGTTAAATAAAATTTTTAACAAGCAATATGAAACCAAACAAATGACAAACCTGATATATATAGAAATATGGAATCATTAGGCTAACTGTGAGCTTAGGAATATCACCTAATTAACTCTTTTTAAAAACAACTGAGGTCCAAAAAGGCTAGGAACCAGTAGCAATGAGCACACCTAGCACCCAGATCTTGGCTTCTAATACCATTCTCCAGTAAAAGGAACCAAGACTCCTTGGAGGAATGGCTGACCCCAAGACTGCAGTAGGAAATACACAAGATGAGCCTGGAGCATCTTGTAGTGCCAAAAAGCAAGGAACTGCCCCAAAACAAATAAGCCAACCCCACACTGATGGGGATATGTCGAAGGAGCATAGGAGCCAACTGAGAGCCAAATGGCCCAATGGCCAAAACTTTGAGGTTTGAAAAAATGTTGTTTAATTTGAGCAATAAAATAAAGTAGTACTGGAGTACAGCCCAAAGTATAAAATAGAACATCCATGAGTCTATATTAATACAAATAAATGGCTGGATAAGGAAATAAATGGAAGAGAACAGGCAGATCTCCTGTGCAGAATCCCAAATAATTTACATGGATAACCCGCCCTCAAGGAGAGTGACCGTAATTTTTCTAATGTGGGCTGTGCACGGCGACTTTCTTCCGAAGAGTCCAGTATGGAAAGGGGGGAAGCAAAGCACAACTTCACAGAGGGGAAACCTGACAAACACCACCTCGGCCAGGCGATCAAGGTCAACATCAACAGTGACGTCATGTCAACAGAATGAGAAAAAGCGTAACACAGATTGCAGCAGAGAGGCATCCCACAAACACCTGCCCGGGCATCTTCAAAATAGTCAAGTCATCAAAACACAAAAAAGTCTAAGCAACTGTCACAGTCAAGAGGAGCCCAAGGAGATAGGCTGACTAGATGTCATGTATCCTGGATGGGATCCTGCAGAGAAAAGAGGCATCAGGGAAAACTAAGAAAATGTGAATGGAGTATTGCCTTTATTATAATATATGAATACTGGCTCACTGACTGCAACAAGTGTACCGTACTAAGGTAAGATGTTAACAACAGGGGAAACTGGGTGTGGGGCATATGGGAGCTTACTGTACTGTCTTCCCAGTTTTCCTGCAAATCTAAAACTGTCCTAAAAAATAAAATAGCTTAAAAAAAGTCCCAATAAATGCTTCAACAGAGATAAACTTTGAATACTACACTAACTTAAAGAAGCTAGTCACAAAAGACCACATATTGTTTGATTCTATTTATGTGAAATTTCCAGAACTGGCAAATCTATAGAGACAGGAAGTGTATTAGTGGCTGCCTAGGGCTTGCGGTGCAGGGGTGTGTGGGGTGGGCAGGAGGTTAGAGGGGAAATGGGGAGGGACTGCTAATGGGTTCAGGGTTTATTTTGGGGGTGATGAAAATGGTCTAAATTGGATTGTGATGATGGTTGCAAAATTTTGCGAAGACACTAAAAACCATTCAAACTATACAGTTAAATGGGTACATTGTATAGTATGTGAATTATATCTCAATAAAGCTGTTTAAAACCAAAAAGGTTTAGTGACAAAGCCACTGGCACTCAGTCAAGGGTGCACTGGAGCCAGCTGGCTTACATCAGCTTGAGAGAGCTGATTATTAAATTTTCCGCAGTTTCGTAACCCAGTTGTTAAACATAGTTAGCGTTAAAAATGCAATCATATAAATGCACAACTATGTAAATTATGTAAAGGCAATAAATACTCATAACTCATCACTGCCCAACTAATTCACTGCATTTTACTGTCACTCACACCAGGAGGTTATTTGTGTCTATTGTATCTATATGACAGAAATAACATCTAATGGTGGGCTAACTGGGCATCTTTTCCCAGTTCTGTGTTTAATGACTTCACATTGGTGCTGGTATTCATACTACAGAAAATCAGCAAATGAGGGCTTGATTTGCTGTTTTGTTTGTTGACTGCTAAGAAAGGGATGGAGAAATTGTTAATAAGGCAGGTTAATTTTAAAAGTATGTTCTGTCTCTAGCTGTCAAATTGTGAATGGCATAAAAATCTAATTTTTCCAGTATTCCATTCAGCAAAAAATTCACTCACATCACTGAAGAACAAGTGAAGTTCTGACATACATCTCTGCTGTTCCACTTACTCATTAACATAAAAGAAGTTCTCCACCAACATTCATGTCAGAACTGCACTTGTTCAGCAACTGCAACCGTAAGTTGTCTACAGGTGGATGCAAGAGTTTGGCAAAAATCAGCAAAAGCATTTGGGGACTAGATGGAAGTTATAATACATTGTATCATATATTTTATTATGATTTATAAACTGTGTGTTGCACATCCTTCATATTTGTAAAATTTATAGCACAGGTGTATGTACACACACACACACACACGTTGCTTCAGAGAGCCTAACATTAAACAGTGACCTACACACCCCTGTTGTAGAGCTGAAACTAGAACTTGTATCTCTTGATCGGTTAGTTCATTGTAACTTTCACTAATCCTATAATCAAACCCATTTCCCACTAGACATTGTTTTAAAATGAAAGAAGCATTTTTCTTTACCTTCTGGTTCCAGCATTTTGGGGATTTTGAACTCCTGTTCTGCAATTCTGAAGGCCTCTTTCAGATTGTCTGTGTTGGATCTATGCCTCACACTCTTCATGTCAACGAGGTCCGGTCGCAAGGCATGAATGACGGCCAAAAAAGCCATTCCATTTCTCCAGCTTGACTTAAAATCTGTCACACTGACAGATTCATACCTGTCACAAAGGAATGGAAACATGATAAATACTATTTAAAAGACTATATCAAGGCACCTCCACTATATTCATCAGGAATTAAAATACATTTTAGCAAATCAAATAGATCACATAACTCATTCCAGGAAGACATTTTATTTTAATCTTGGGGTCAGATTGAAGTAAAATGTCAAGTCTGATGAGGCTCACGGTACTGCAGAACAGTGGTTCTCAAAGTGTGGCCCCTGGACCAGCAGCAGCAGTATCACCTGGGATGCAGGTGCTAGAAATGCAAATTCTCAGCCCCAACCCCAGGTCTACTGAATCACACTCTGGCAGTGGGCCTGAAATCTGTGTCTTTAGAAGCTCTTCACGTGACAAGGATACCCACTCAAGTTTAATGCTCTTTATTCAACAATCTGTTGGCTCAAGACTAAGTGTGAACCTCTACAGATCATTAAGTTCCTTCCACTAGAGGAAATAATTTTACTTCTCATTGGAGAAAATGAAATGATATATTGTGCCAGATCAATGGCCAACAGTTCACTGTACAGACAGAACTTGCCAGTCCTCTGCTTAGAACTGGCCATTATGAATGAATGGATAAACAAAATGTGGTGTGTACATATGATGAGGTATCATTCAGTCCTAAAAAGTAAGGAAATTCTGATACATGCTACAACATGAATGAACCTTAAAGATATTATGCTGAGTGAAATAAGCTTGTTAAAAAAGGCCAAATACTATATGATTGCATTCATTCAAGGTACCTAGCCTAGTGAAATTCACTGATAAAGAAAGTAGACCTCTGGCTGCCGGGGACTGAGGGGAGGGAGGAATGGGGGGATGTTTAATAGATACAGAGTTTTAGTTTTGCAAGATGAAAAAAGTTCTGCATATAGATAGTGGTGATAGTTACACAATGTGAATGTACTTAATGCCACTGAACTGTACACTTAAAAACTGTTAAGTGGTATATTTTATGTTACATATATATTACCACAATACAAAAATTATTTGAAAGTAAAACGTCAGTTTGTCATTGTATTTAGAATAACATCTCTCATTCTGGCTTATGGGGTCTTACAAAATTGGGTTTCTGCCTATCTCTCCCACCTTTATATCTCCGCTCTCTTACTATGTTGGAGTGTCTGGCCAAACCACGCTGACTCCATTCTGTCAGCTCCACCCGAGGCCCGCAGTCCTACCCACTCTTCTCTCTGCATGACTGAGCTTCAGCCTACCCACAAGGAATGTGCCCAAGCCAGTTAAGTTCCCCATCAACTTTCACCCTTGCCTTCATTGGATATGAAAACCAGAAGAATGCCTTTCGCTGACATTGGCTGGTTAATGATCATGAGACCCCGGGTGGAGGAAAAATCTCCCAGTTCCCCCTTAGCAGTCAGATTCTACTCTTAGCTTTGGCCCCTTTAAATCCTCCTGTACCCCTTTATGGGGGCACAGAATGCAGCTGTGAATGCCTCTGGATCCTTGTCTGTCTGTCCTGCCTGTATGTAAGTTACCTACAAGAAACTTCACAATTGCATTTTATGGAGTTGCCTGCTTCTTTCCTCGGTCTTAAAGTTCTCTCTCAGTTTAGAGGATATTATTCCTTATCTCTATCTTCCAACAGGCAGCCACATTGGCTTCATTCCTGTTTCCTGATTACCTTTCTAATCCTTCTGCCTGGACATTCTTTCTCCCAGATCTTCATACACCTGAAGCCTCCTCCTCCAGGTCTCAGCTCAAAGGTCTTCTCCTCAGAAAGGCGTTCCATGACCACCTAAGATAAAGGCGACCCTCTTTCTACTCTTGACATTCTCAACTATATCATAACTCCTTCCTAACTTCACTGCCAACTATAATTATCATATTTATTCCTCTGCCTTCCCAACTAGGGTGCAAGCCCCTTGAGAACACGGGTGTTTTCTTTGTTGCCCATCATGGTAGACTCACACCCTCAAACAGTGCCTAGCATATAAAGGTCTTTAACATATATATTTCAAACCACTCAATCACTATTTCGTATCTAACAAAAGATCAGCGTACAGTTGCCTACAAAATGTGGAAAATATTCCAGAACGATGATAATTTCCTTTAACAGCCCATAAAAACACAAGGTAATTCAGTAGACTAATTAAATGTAGAAATCAAATGACAAAAGCTACTCAAGAAATAGCCTGTTTCAGATGACCTGGGCTTTCTTGGATCCCTTAGGAAAAAAGCCTAAACTATGATTATAATAAACTACATAGTGGTCAATGATTTTTGTCTTGTTTTACAAACATTTATGTGGTACCCACTGTGTCCAGAAACTGCTCCAAATGCTTAAAAAGAAAATCCTTGTAATACACATAATAGCTCTATGAAATAAGTTTAGAGCTGTCCACTTTCTGTGACTGAGGAAACTTGAACACAAAGAGATTAAAGGGATTAAGTGTCTTAGGTCACAAGTTAGAAAGTGCTGGGGAGCCAAGACTCAAAATCTGGTATTTTGCTTTAGAGCATGCACTTCAACACTAGACTAAACTGACAGCTACAGGGATGGGAGTCGGGCCGAGGGCAGAGCCAGACCACCACCAGAGGGCTGGGGGGTGCCAGGACTGGCTCCGGGCTGACTGGCAGGCACTGTGCTCAACAAAGCACCAGGCTTATGAGGGCAGCTCTGCACGGAGGGACCAAACCAATGTTACAAAAACATGCTGCTGCCGGGTCTTGGAGAGGGCGGGGTTTGGCTCCAGAGTGATCGGCAGGATCTGGGCTCATGGACGCATCACAAACGGGGGCCCAATTCACCTCCTTCGGAAATAAGAAAACACAACTACTTCTTACAACATCGCCTCACATCTGAAACCTAGAGAATCACAGCATACGGAAACAAAAGTTACCCAATAATACCACCAACAACGGCCCAACTACAAGAAACTCCTGCCGAATTACCTAAGAATTATGTACTCCATCTTAGTAAGTTTAGCATAAGCTCTATGTTGAAGAATAAGGACGGACATGGGGAAAAAGATAAACTGTGGTAAAATATGTGAACTTTGAAAGGGTCTGAAGCTTATTTATGCATAAATGAAACAAGTCTGTAAATGATGTAATAAGGCTTTTCACACATGCTTCATTTTGGATTTTAAAAATTTAGGAGCCTGAAGTAAAATTATCTCTAGGAGATTCATGAAAAAGTTACTTAAATATACTTAAGACTTACGCGATGTGTATGTTTGTGTCCCTCACAGAACACGGAGAATGAATGACAACTAAAGAAAGGTAATGCAGAAATTAATGTCTTAGCCTTTCATTAGGAAGGAGCCTAACATTTGAGAGAGCTTAGCCGTGTATTTATGCCTCTGTGTATCTGGACAATGCTATGATGTAATGCCTTCTGAGCTCCATAGCTCTTTTTGTGGTGGATCTCCTGAATCTAATTCCTTACTTTTCCTAAACTCCATCCAAGCAGTCGGCTAAATCACAAAAGGAAACGTCTCCCAAGAGCAGAAAACACTTTTCTATGTAAAAAAGAAAGTATAAGCACTAACTTCCTTTCATCATCCCCTTTCTTAAAACACGTCCTGTCTTGTTTCTTCCTTTCCTAACTGAGCTTTTCATGTTAGTCATAATCAGTTTCAAGGGATAATTTTATGAGTTGGTTACTCATTCACTCATTTGTTCATTCATCCACTCAATGCATTTAAGAAGCATCAGCCATGAACTCACATTATGCTAAATTCAGGGAATATACAGTCAATTAAGACAGAGTTCCAACTTTTAAAGAACTTGGCAGCGTGGTAAAACTTTTATCTGCACAAAGGAAAAGGCCACCTACACAGGGGCTGGGAGTGAGGTAAGTTACCCACACGATACCACCTTCTGGTCTTCAAAATGGAGTGGCTGAGCTCAGTCTTCCGTGTTTGGAAGAGTCGCTGTGAGAGCAAGGGGGAGAGTAAGCATTTTCTTTTTACATGAGGGGAGTGTTCAGGCGGGTGTTACACTCAGTTGGCCTGATTTCCAGACCTCGAGGTAAGGTTGTGCTGGTGGGTACAGCTGCCCCGTGTGTCTCGTCTGGTCGTAGCAAACTACTTACCTGGCACATTGTTCCTGAGCCCACAGGAGAAGAGCCTTCTTTGCAGACATCTGCCATCTTTCTTGGACTTTGGAGCATTTCTTAGCTGGAGGACTTGAGGTAGGAGATGAGTCAACCACACTCACCCTGTCTGGGGAAGGTTGATTGTAATTGCAAGAAAGAGTCCGGGCAAGCTCCTCAATCTAAGGAAGACGTAACAGTAGTTAACACATCTGGAATCACAGCTCGGAGCACTGAGGCAAAACCTTCGGCCAAGACAAGACCTATGAAGTATCGTGTAATAGCGACGGTTTACTTGTAGTGAAATAAGCACCGGACAAACCCTTGAATAGTGGCATTTGACATCTGGAGCTACACTTTGGCTTTGGGTCACTCCTGCCCTCACTCAGGTATAGCGTTCCACATGGAGGGCAACATCTGCTCATCCCCTCCTTTACTGGTCCTCAACATCTGTCAGTCTAAGCTGAACTGGGCTAAATCGAACTCCCGGTTAAGAGTGTCTTCAGAGAGACCGGGTCAATTAAAATGCATCCTTGATTCTAAACCACTAAGGAAAAAATAGTCAAACATGGAGAGGTTAAGTCCCAAGAAAGAAAAACACTGCCCTTTTATATATGAAAAATAACCTCATTAGTCATTTCAGGAATCTAAGTATGTACAGCAAGAGGACAGTTTTTTCATATACAGCACAGGCAAACATTTTTTAAAGATAACAGCCAGTGATGGGGAGAGTACAAGAAACTGAATAGTCATATATTGCTGGAAACACACAAATCGGTTCAGATTTTTTGGAGGGCAATGATAACATCTTCAGAAATGTTAAAAATAAATCCAGTATCATAAAAGAAGTATTATTGAAAGATGTACCCTTCTTTCAGTGACCAACAGATTTACCACACAACTAGCAATAGCAGATGTGACCAACACAATGAACAAACTTGATCTGGTTGGCATATCCTATTGCACCTAAAATGGCAGGATCACCCATTCTTTCCAAGTACATATAGAATATTTACCAAAATTGACCATGCTGAGCCATAAAGCAAGCCACAGCAATCCCAAAGGGCTGAAATAATTCAGATTATATTTTCCAACCACATTCAAATTAAGGTAGACATCAGTAATGAAAGCTAACAAACAAAATTCCAAATATTTGGAAATTAAGCAACAGATTGTCACAGAATCTGTGAGTCAAATGAGAAATCATAATGAAAATGAGAACATATCTTGAACAGAACAAAAATGAAAATATTATTCATGAATTAAAAGTTGCATTATTTAAAAGATGTCAACTTTTTCCAAATTATTCTATACATTCAATGCAATCCTCATTAAAATTCCAACAGGTTGTGTGTGTGTGGAAATTAACAAGTTACTTATAAAATTTATATGAATATCAAATCAACATGCTGTCTACCTTAACCTTACGCAATAGTTATATGTCAATTACATCTCAACAAAAAAAATTATATGAAAATGCAAAGTGTAAAGAATTCAAGATAATCTTGAAGAACAAGTTGGACAACCACACTATCAGACATTAAGTCTGACTGTAGAGCTACAGAAAGTAATTTAGTATAGTATTGGTGCAAGGATAATTAGTGGAACAGAACAGAATCGGAAAATGAAGCCACACCTATTGATTTATGAAGGTGACACTACAGTACAATAGGAAGATGATCTCTTCAAAAACTAGTGTTGGGTCAACTGGAAAGCTATATGGAAAAATAAACCTTGATAGTTTTAACATAACACACTCAAACAAATCAATTCATTCTTGAAAGATTGTAGCTCTAAATGTAAAATGTGAAACTCTAAAGCTTTTAGAAGTGAAGTGTTCAAGAGCCATATACCTGGCTAGTGGCTACCGTTCTGTACAGTACAGATACAGAACATTTCCATCAATGCAGAATGTCACATCGGACAGAACTATTCTAGAAAATAACAGGAAAGAATTCTTTAAAGGACATAAAGAGTACTAGGCACCCCCCAAAAAAGAAGCTAATAAATTTGAACTACATTAAAATTATCAATGCCTATTCATTAAAAGATTGAAAAGGCAAGCCAGAGTCTGAGAGGATATTTGTAATTTATATACATCCAACAAAGGACTTGTATCCAGAACACATTTTAAAACTTTTACTAATCATTACACACACTGTTGTAGCAAAAATAAAAGTTTTTAACAAGTTTAGCGAAGAGTAGAGCAAAGAATTTTCAAACTCTGTTAACAGTAAATCAGAATAACAAGTTTGAAAAACTGTTTGGCAGTATCTATTAAAGCTGACGATCACGTGTCCCATGGCCCCGCAGTTCCAGTCCCAGATAAATATGCAACAGAAATGAGGGCATATACGAGAACGTTCTTAGCAGCTTTATTCATAGTGATTAAAAACTAGTAACAGAAGAAAGGTCCATCAACAGTAGAATGGTAAATAAGTTCTGGTATATCCATGTAATGTTATACTCACACAAAGCAATGAAAAGGAAAAACTCACTGATACCTTCCTCAGGAGGATGAATCTCACTGACATGATGTTAAGTGAAATAAGTCAGACACAAAAGGGTTTAGGATGTTAAATTAATTAACGATAAAATCAAAGTAGTGGTTACCTTTAGGGAGGGAGAGCAGTGACAGGGAGAAAGACCTGGGGACTCTAAGATGCTGGCAATGTTCTAACTTTTTATATTCAGTCACACGGTGGTTACACAGGTATGTTTAATTTACAAAACTCCATCAGGCTCTATGCTTAAGATTTGAGCATTTTTCTCTATATGTATTATACGTAACAAAAATTTATTTATAATATTCAAACAAAACGTTAAAAGCTTTAATTCTGCAAACCTTATGGCCCAAGAATGCCATCTCTAGGAATCTGGTCCATGGAAATAATTAAGATTATATGCAAAAGTATTATTTTAAGGGTAGTCTTTTTGGAATTGTTTATTGTCACAAAAAGCTGTGAGCATTCTGACTGTCCACTAATGATACAGTGTTTTACAACAGAACATCAAGCTCCCACTAAAATACATATAAATTTAGAAAGATGTTACATAGACTAGCTTGAAAATGGTATGGATAACATGATCCCATTTTGTTAAAAACATACATATATGAATATATATATATATAAGTTCCTGCTATATATGTCATGAAGACTATACACTAAATTATTTGAAGTGGCTATCTGTGAGTCACTTTATTTTCTTTTTATTTTCTTTTTTTAATCTATATTGAAAATTTAAATTATATTTCAAACACCCTGGAAAGTGTGGAGAAAAAAATATAATAAATGCCTGCAAATTATCAAATTTTAACATTTTACCACATTTAGTTCATAATTTTTTAAAGAAGTAAAACATAAATGCATTCTAAGCCTTCCGTCTTTCCCTCTTCAATTCCATTTCCTTCCTTTCCCGGGGGGAGAAAACCAAAACCCTAGATTTAGTTTTCATCGTCCTCGTGCATACTATCCTACTGTAACTACAAACACAGGTATCCAGAAACGATATAAAGTCTCGTTTCACATGTTTGAAATCTTACTTAAATGAGTTATGCTATTTTCCAGTTTTTCTAAAATAAGCATTTGTTTCCCACATAATTTTTAAAGTTGTTTTTAAAGTAATTCTTGAGATTCAAGTACGTAGCTTTTTAAGTAGCTACAGAAAACTTGCACAAATTGAGCATCCCAGGCCTGAAAGAATGTATCTATCAATCGTAAGTGTCACAAAGTCAGGACTACAACCTTCTTCGCTGTTATGTTCTTGGTATCCTAGCACAAAAGCTAGCATGTAGTAGGTGCTCGGAAATATTTGTGGAATGAAATGACATCTGTGAGTCAGTCTTGGCACAGAACTAGATGCTGCAGGATTATTAGCTTGGACAAGGGACCTCAAAAATAGGGAGATTTTACTAAGCTTAGTGGGTTAGTTTTCAAGAATTAACTCCAGAAGTTCCGTATTCTCTCTTCTGCTGGAGAAAATAAACAACAATGAGCAAAAATTTGCCACAGCACGTTCTATTCAGACTGGTACTGATACTGTGGATAATTCAGGATATCATGATAATTCAACATTTAGTTTTCAATTGAAGAATAACATAAATGACAAAAGGTCTGCCATATATTTTCCACCTGACAAGACTTCCAGTGTGTCCTATTTCTGGAAGAAGCTCTAGCATCAAGTCACACTTCCTGTATTACACTTATTTCATACTGTGGTAATTAGTACAGAGACAATTTTCTTATCATCAAACTACTTACATGAAAGTGCAGTATAATTGTCCAAATTAGGCCAAGAATAATGGATGGGTTTCCATCTATAATGTCAGCAACGTGAATATTTATTAGCTTGATCTGGAAAAGAAGAAACGCAGGTTAAAAGGAGAAAATACTTCACAGTATTAATCCCCTTAATGAATTTTCATGAATTTCATACTCACTGATCGGTTTTTCAGGAATGTCAGGGCATGTTCTATATTGATTCTACACTGGAATGTATTAGATCCTTTATCTCGAGGCTATGAAATTCAAGCAAAATATATTACTCAGAAATATGATTTTAAAAAAAACCCCACAAAATTTCTTAATGTCGTTTTAAAAGCTTACCAACTGTTGTCCTGAGAGTACTTCTAGCAGGTCCAGGAGGACATGCCCCTTCTTAATGTCTGTGAACAGGTCTGATATAACTGAGGGAGGAGTGTGCTACAAAAGGTCACAAGAAAAGTACTCATTGAAACTTTGGTCCAAAAACACAGTAACTTTAAGAATCTCATAAATGTGCTTTTGCATCTCTGCAAAAGCTAAGCTTCAGTTGTGGTTTTCTTCTTAATTAACAGAATGTCAGAGAACACACAAAGCTCCATATCAAAATATGATAAGGAAAGTAGGAAACTTAAGTTATCTCATCGCAAATTTCCAGTAACAGAACACTCTTTCAGCTTTCCCTGGGAGCTTAAAACATGCACAGACAATGGCATTCAGACAGTCAGAATCAGCCAGTATTGACCCATTTTGGGAGGAGATTACATTTCTGGAGTAACCTGTTTATGAACTTATCCTTTTTAGAATTATGAGCACTGTGCTGGGATGGGTAGCCTGGGAGAAGAGGCTCATTCATTCCGTATCTAGGTTATTCCAGGAACCTGGCATCCTTGAGAGCCAAGATGGCACAGAGATTAAGATCAAGCCCTTTGGGTCCAGACTACCTGGGTTTGTATCCCAGAACTATCACTTACAAGCTGTGTGACCTCGGAGAAGTCACACAACCTCTCTGTACCTTAGCTGCCTTGGACTTTAAACAGAAACAATTCTCTCTATCTCATGGTACTACTGTGAAGTCACTGAAATATAATGAGTGGTTAGGACATTCAAAGAACTTATGACGATGTCTAACACACAACACTCAATATATGTGACTTACTATTATAATTCCAATTGATAAAAGAGATGTTGCTGCTTTAAATACGTTTACAGCACCATCTCCCATATCTTCAATAAAAGTGCCCCTTTTTTTATTTACATTTTTTATTGATTCATAATCATTTTACAGTGTTGTGTCAAATTCCAGTGTTCAGCACAATTTTTCAGTCATTCATGGACAAATACACACTCATTGTAAAGTGCCCCTTTTTTGTGTTGAGAAAAAATAACAAATACTTCAAAGCAAGATCAAGGACACATTCAGCGCATTCTTTCAACCTTTCAGATGTCACCAGTGCCATTTTAGGGATTCAAACTGAGGGAGTAGGAGGAATCACGTAAATATATTTATAGCGTGATTTGCTCTGTTTTTCCTTACCTTTGCCAACTGTGAGTTTATCCAGCAGGTGAAGGTTTTCTTCTGAGTGTCTTCCTGTTCAGCTGTTTAAAAAGGAAAATAGCAGTTATAAAATATGGCCTTGATGATGAGGAAAGAGAACTCCTAATCCGAAAGACTTGCCATCTTAGCCAACACCACAGGTATTTAAGATAAACCCAGAACTTCCAAAAACATTTTAAAAAGCTCATAAAGTCGTGTCAGTTTAGCCTTGACATTTATTGTGAGTATTTATTATGGAGAATATACGGACACTGAATTAATTATAAATGAGTAGCAATTGGAGTCAGAGAGACCTGAGTCCAAATTCTGCCTCTGTTACTGAGTAGCTGTGTGATTCAGGGAGCAGGTTCCTCACGGAATAAGGTAAGAAGTACTCACCTCCAGAGCCTGTTAATGATGCCCTTAAAGTGCAAACCCTGGCTCCGAGTTAGCACACGAGAAGTGCTAGCTCTCACTTTACTAACCTGGCAGGAGTCCAGGGAAAGGTCGGGACACTCAGCGCCCGGCAACTCGGAGGACTGTGCCTTCCCTGCAGCCCTCCCAAGTGGTGGCGTTGCTTTCTCTTACAGACCTTGGACCAATAGCTCCTTGCTCTTTACTGATACTTCCAGATCATTTTCCCCCCTCTTTGTCCCTGAAACGCTCCAGCTTTGACTCTCCAGTCATCACTCCCCACTGTTACAGTCATCCCTCATCATTTCTCAAAGATTTAGTTTCTTCCCCATGGCCACTCTCTCCAGTATAATTCTTGGCAATTTCAAAATACATACTGATGAACCTTCCAAACTTCTGGGCTGTTTCTTGAATTCTTCTCCAATAAACGTGGCTTCTGTCCTGCCTCAACCACTCATTGTCTGTCATGGTCATATCCCGACCTTGTCGTTACTAATAACTACAACTCCTCCTAATCCTGAGTTCATGCATCCCCATCTCTGAACATCATCCCTTATCTTTTCAGTTCATCCCCTCCAGTGCCTCGACTCCAACAATCCTTGGAGTCCATCCGCAACTCCAAGCCATCAACTCTGCCAGCTTTACAGCTTGCTCCCTTGGTCTCCTTCCTTTCATCCTTACCCATTGTAAATTCCACAATCAATTATTACATACACTCCACTCCCTTGCACATCATTCTGTGGTGTGCACCTCATCACTAGTCTCTGCTCACTCAGATCTGCCCACGTGCTGCTGAATGTGGCTGGAAGAAAATCCATAACCGCGCTAACTGGGCTCATTGTGACCCCAAGTGGCCCTCAGCGCTGCCTGCCAGTCATATTCTCTCTTGCTCCTCTAGGCAGCAATTTCACATCTTCCCCTTCTTTCTCAAATTTCCAATACCTCCTCTCTCTGCTGAGATCTTGCTTCCACAGGGACACTTAAGGAATCATCTACCCCCTTGTCTAATAACCTATTAAAAAGCTTGGCCTGCAACCTGTTAGCATGGGTGAACTATCCCTGCTCAGACCTAAAGCCACTCCCTTCCTTCACTCACTCACCAGATCTCATCCCTTTGAAGCTACTCCAGGGTATTTTGCTCCTTTGTTTCCTATATCATCCTCTTTTCCCACCTCTTTTCTCGGACCATGCCCATGCTATTAATTTGCCCATCTAGAAACAAAAACAAAAAACAAACCTCTCTTAACCCCAGTTCCCCAGCAGGTAAGGCTTCATTTGTCTGCTGCCCATTGTGGCAAAAATCCTCAGAGTTGTCTGTGTTCACTGTCTCCGAGGCCCCTCCTCCCTCTCTCTTAACTGAATCCACACCAGTCAGGCCCTCGCCATTCCACTGAAACTGCTCTGCCATCAAGGGCACTGTGAATCAAGGTCATCAGCGATCCCCCCTCACTGAAACCAATAATCGATTCTCAGCCTTCATCTTCAGCAGCATTCAATACTCTCTCCGCCTGCTTCCAGGCTCCCACACTCTCTGTTTTCCTCCTACGTCACACGCTGGCATCTCTCTTCCTCTCACATTTCATATCCAATGCCTTGGGAAATCCTCTTAAGTCCACCTTCAAAATATAATCAGGATAGGTCCTCTTCTCACCACCCTCACTGCCACCACCCAGGTCCAAGGCACCTCCAATCTCCACCTGGATGACTGCAATCGATTCCAAACAGGTCTCCTTCCTTGCAGCCGTGACCTCTAAACACTATTCTCAGCACAGCATCCAGAGTGATATTGCTAAAATGTTAACTCAGATCAGCAAACCCCTTTGCTCAAAACCCTGCTTCACTCCTTAAAATGGCTACAAGCCCCACATTTTCTGCCTCCCAGCCCCCCCTCCCTTATCGTCCCCTTATAAGTCATTCCATCCAACCCCTCTGGCCTCCCCGTGTTTCTCAAATTCTCCAGACACATTCCCACCTTAGGGCTTTTGCACTAGCTGTCCTTTCTTCCAGGAGTGCTTAACTACACATATCCCCACAAGCTAACTCCCTCATCTTCTTCAAATCTTGGTTCAAATGGCATTCATCCACAAGGTCTCTCCTGACCATCCTATTTAAAACTGTAACAACCCCACTTCTGCTTCCCCTTGTCCTGCTTGACTTTTTTCTACAGTACTCATCACCTTTAGCATTCTATGTAAGTTATATATGTTGTATGTTTATTATTTAATACCTTGCTCTCCTCCCAACAGAATGTAAGCCCCACACAAGCAAAGATGTTTTATCTGTGATATATTTCAGGGGCCCAGAGTAGGCTCTAAATAAATAATTGCTAAAAGAGTAGCCACTAACTCTACTAATCAGTATTACAGTTATATTTTATTTACTCTACAAGAAGGTCAAATGTGTTCCCATTCCTTCTTTTAAAAGTTGTCTGTTCTACCTTCTTACACATTGTTTTCTGTTGCCTCTTTCCATTCTCCCTTGTTAATCTCCAACACAGTTAAAGTGAAATTGTTGGCATGACATCTAACTTGAGTTCTTGAAACTTTTTTAATCTGATGAGAGTTCAGGTTGAAGAAATAAAGAGGATGTGGGTAAATGGAATTTTAGGGTGTTAACAATTGTGACTGATTAGAGATTAAAGATGTACTTAACCTCGTTGGATTTTTTTTTCTTAACTTTTTCAGTCAACTTTCATTTTGTCTGTATTACCAGCTTAAATTAGTTATAGGCCAGTGATTTACACATGAAAGGGTGCTCAACCATTGTTAGTGGAACTGAATTGAGTTCTGACAAGCCAACCGGACAGTTAAGGCTATTGAGAGTTATTTCTGTTTTGTACAAATTTCACTTAAAAGAATTTTAAAGAACTACAGTTTTGTCCTAGAATTCAAAATGTTACTAAATCTTCTGGAATCTTTGAGATATGTTTTCACTGTTTGTTCCTCTAGTATTGGGAGATGATAAGACAATAAAAATATTTTGGTTTGTTTTTATTTTGGGAGGAGGTAATTAGGTTTATTTATTTATTATTATTTTTTTAATGGAGGTACTGGGGCTTGAATCCAAGACCTCGTGCATGCTAAGAATGCATTCCATCACTGAGCTATGCTCTCCCCTGCAAAACAATGCATTTTAAATGTGTATTGACGCTTACTAAAAAATATGTTTAGAGCTAACTTTGTTCCTCAATAGAAAAAACTAGAGAATAAGTTTTTATGATTCCAGGATAGAGTTATACGTACACAATGTACATTAATCAAGGTGATGTGTAAAAGTGGGAAGAGACTTATTCATTATTACAACCACAGAGCAGAAATTTAAAACAAGAACAAAACAAGCAACAACAAAAACAAACAAAAAAGACTCTCTTCCTTATCCCTAAGGGGCCAAAAGAGATTTTTTCTTTCTAGGTGACAAAGTACGAAGAAGAAACTAACCAGGAATACTACCAGGTCCAAGAGATAGTGTCTGCACTAAATTTAGGGGAGCCATAGCGGGAGAAATAAAGAACCATAAAGGAAGCGAAATGCTAGCAAAAACGGAGTGTAAAAGAACACTGTGTGCCTGAGGAGTCTGAGTACTCCACATCCACCTGGAAACGTTAGTCATTCTGAACTATTTCCAAGAAAGACGAGGCATCATGTGATCACTTCCATGTGACGCTAGAGAAAAGAAGTCTTGGTACCAAGCAAACTGAAGACTATGAACTTTCCCAGGCTGAGAAAATAGGCAGCACATCAGGCTCTAACTGGACTTTACAAATTAGAGCCCCTAATTTAACCTGAGGTTGGACTGACTATCCTCTGACAGGGACATAAACTTAAATTTAAAACAATCAAACATTTCCAGTGAAAACCTTATGTTATCCTTGTCCTAATTTGATTAAAATCTAATAGAAACAAGGAGGAAAACACTAAGAGGAGAAATCAGAACAAATCTCCACCCAGTATTCGCCAGTTAGCACAGGAAACAGTGAACCAATGAAACCTTCAGGAAAAGGTTTAAAAAGGAAACTTGGTGGCTTTTAACTAAGGCATTGTCCAAACTTACAGAACACCTTGTCATCCTGGAAATCAGAACCCTTCCAATCCAACAAGGACCCTTTCGTGACAGCAACAAAGATGCCCCAGATGCAATCAAACACCTGTATAACCACTCAGTTAAATAGTTTTGTCTGTCCTGCTTCATTTATCCCCTGACCCGCTTTTCTCGCATTTTCACACTGTCTTATCCCTGCAAAGTGGTATTCATTCAACAGGAACCAGAGCCAAATAGCTCACCCTATGGCAGGATAAGTAACCTTTTGTTCTTTTCAAAGGCTGACCCATTGGGGAAAAAATAATTGAGAGGCACATGCTTTAAAGCAACTTAATTTGAGTGGGTGAGATTTTTTTTTAATTGTTGGGTTTTATTTTTTAATTTCCAGAGTAACTTTCCAATAAAATAATAAAACTCTTCTCAAAATGGACCAAAGAGAATAGAACATTTTAATCAGCAGGTGTTAGGAACAGAAAAAAGCAAAAACAGGAAGAAAATAATAAAATCTATCTTAAAATGCCAAGGAATAGAGAGTGAGAAATTCCCTATTCTGATTTTTAAGGCGAATAAGAAACACAGATAATGCAGGAAAACGCAGTCAGTGAGTTTT